TTGAGCTCGAAAAACTGGTTGCTCGATGATTTATCTATCTCATCGGAGATGAAAGCCTGTGGCTATGCTCAAATATCTACAAACTCTAACCAGGTTGTCGTGTCTGAAATAAATTGAGTGGTACACCAGAGTGGCCAAAGCCTCAAACACAAAGCCGTCCATACTTTCCGAGCTGTAACTCTCTCACAATGCGGATCGTATTTCTTGTCAACAACGCATATAATAACCCATTGAAATTCCCGAGCACCTTGGCGGCTAACCTCAACTAGACTCACCACCACTCTGCCTAATCAGACATCAAAATGCAGGTCAACAAGCTTCTCATCGCTGCAGTGCTTGGTTTTGCAACCACTGCTCTGGTAAGTCGTCAAGCCAGGCACTCCTGTTTAAATCAGTCCACTAATTTGCGTGTCGGATCGTCAAATAGGCTCAGGAGGGTAAATGTACGGCCAAGGGAGAATGTCAGGAGAACACCAGCGGCGTCCGCTTGTTTTGCTCCTCGGGCAGCTGTGACGGAAAGGAAGGACAATCTTGCACGAGGAACGGTCCTGGGTCGTCCAATGTGGCTGACTGCCCCAAATGAAGTATCCATCTGGCATTGGGGTCGCCATGGTCAAATGCGAATAGTGCATCCAGTGGCGCAGGGTTTCTGATCATGTCTGTAACTCTTTTCTGAGAAGGACACAATTTGCGGCAAGATGTCCGCTACTTAGGCTCCTTGTGGTGCCTTAATACCATGGTTGAATTGAACAAAAATTTCCAACAGTGAAACCACTCCTTCCGTGATTCATGCGCTTCAAATAACAAGCAGGCAGTAGCTCGGCTGGATGACATGTTACACCATACTGTTGACACCCCCTCAGTCCTGTCTACTGTTACAAGATAGCATATTCAGTATCTGCGGACAAATTGCCTTTGGTCCATCTTGTCTATAGTGACAATGGAGGAAATCTCATGCTGAGTTACCTGTGCTAATGAAACAAAGTGCTTAAGTAGTATAAGATTCTATCATCTCATGAAAACATGCCAAGCAACGCACGATACATGGCCAAAGTAAGACATAAATTTGACGATGGATTCGAAAAAAGGTGTTACACTACTCAGGCAAGTGAGTTCGAATAGGAGGAAATCCGAATAGAAAACTAATAGAGGAGGGAAAACATAGACGAGAGTGGCAACTAGACATCAAATGGTGATAGTTTCCTCGGGCAGCGGCAAAACCTTCTTTCCACACGTGTAAAACTCATACCCGGCGTCTTTGGAGTGATCCTCCAGCACTGGGTTGGATACGCTGATAGCTCTTGCTCCTCTGACGATCATATCGTCGCGATACTCGCCGATGTACTTCGCCACATCGGGACCCTGTCCTCCAGCGTTGCGGATGCTTGTGATGGCGTCGCCCAGCCTCAAGCCATCGGTCAGTGCACAAACACCGGCCTCTCCTCGGACTATGGGGATTGAATTAGCTTCAACTCTCCTTCAATCCGTGAATGCATACTTACATGGGGTCATTGAGTGAGCGGCATCCCCGGCCAGAGTGATCCTGCCAGCAGGCAGTTGATCGACTGTCATTTGCACACTCTGTAGCACAATACCTGGCTTCTTGTATCTCTCAACAGGCACCTTGTCGACTAACACGCGCAGACTGTCAGGATAACTCTTGGTGTTTTCCTTCGCGAATGCCATCAACTCCTCTCGTGAGGCAGTGACGGTCCAAAACGGCTTCTCTTCCGTGCTCTTGGCAGCTTCCTGGTCGATCCAGTGAAGAATGAAGTAGAAGTACCCCGTCTTCTTATCCGGGCTGATCTTGTTCATGGCGGCGAACAGGCTTGCTTGCCATCGGTTCTCGGGCGATGAGTCCAGGACGATGTAGGCAGAATGACCCAGTTCAAGCTGATGCTTCATTTCATCAACCTCGAGTTCAATCTCGCCAACCAAGGAGCCCACAGGGAGCGGCGTCATGACATCTTGGCCGCCCAAGATGTGCCGACGCACCAAGCTCCGACTTCCCTCCGCTCCAACAAGGATGTCTCCGGTCTCCGAGCTTCCATCTTCAAAGTGTGCCACCACCTTGTCGTCTTGCTCCTCGAGTCGTACTAGGCGTTTATTGAACTGCACCGGCAGATGTTGTAGAAGCCAGTCACGGAGACGCTGACGGTTGGCACGAACAATTTTTCCAGTCTCATCGTCCGTGACACCGACTCGCCACGAGGGCTTGCTGACATCATAAAAGACGAACTGCGCCGGGATATGGTCGAGGGGGCTCAGATGGTTGGTTTGTTCGATGGGACCAAGGTCTGCCGGCATCGACGCTGATAGTTCAGCCAGCAGAGGGCCGTGTAAGGCGATGGCCCATCCTTGAGCCCTGGCGTCAGCCCTACTGTCCCGCTCGAAGATGGAGAAAGAGACGTTGTTCTTGCGGAGTATCTGAGCAAGTGTAAGCCCGCTCAGCCCGGCACCGATAATGAGAACATGAGGATTCGACTTGGTCGACATGGTGTTTTTTCCAGGCGTGAAGTAATGAATGAGAAATGTGATGATCTGAATTGGATTGACTGGGTGTCCTCTTCGTTGTCGACCAAAGATTTATATACATTTTTGAAGACTTGTAGCCTGTCTATGAACTGGATGCAACTCGTAAGCTTCCTTGGCAGTTGCACCGGCCGCAACGTTGAAGAGGTGTACCCAGTGGATTATTCCCGGTCGGATTCGTCCATGATTCGCGCGATACTGGCGGTCAACGCTCCGTCGGCCCACCTTCATGAAGCAGCTGGAGACACCCGTGTCGCTGATCCATGAGTTTTCGCTTGCCGGGCGCATTGGTCAAGTGCAAGGGTCGGAATCATTAAGGTCTTTTGGTTCCCCAGCTTTTGATCGCTTTTTTGTTCACGGCAACTCTCAGAATAGCAGCATCATTACTAACTATACCTCTATACACTTCAAGGCACTGGGCAACACTTCCACTCACAAACATTAACTTCACGTACACCAATGCCATGACGTACAACTCAAGTATCGTTGACAACCCATACAATTTTATGCCATTCCATGTTCGAAACCTCCCCTTTCTATTAGCAGCTTTAATCATGTTTCCACAACGTCGTAGGTGGAAAAGACGACAGGCTAATGTGTAAAGCGTTGACGGCCCGGTCATCCACGATCTACTAATCTGATCACGTCACAAGACGAGCTTCTAGCATTGTTGCCCTGAATTTACTTCTATAAGCTCTGTGTATCCCTTGAAGCCATCCCAATGGCCTTTGGAGGTTCTGTTGGCTTCGAGTCACGGAACACCTATCAGCGTTGTATTTGTGCCACGCTTTTCATCTTCCAAGAACCACGGTATCTACACTTCGCCCATCTACGTCAATCTGGCTTAGGAGCTCTGTTGCGACGTGCCATACTTATGCGTGAAATACCCCTCACCTTGCGACACACCGTCTCCTCGACAGTCCGGGACGTGCCAGTGTTTTTACTCACTCGATTGCAGCATCAATCGCTATGTGTAATTGGACCGTCCAGCTGGTCTCGCGGCATGATGCGGTAGAACAACTATCAGCTTGATTTCGAATAATGAGAACAGGTATCCGGATTCTCTGAAGCAGGTAGCCAGCCTATCTCCCGGAGCAACTCGTGAATCCTCGAATCAGAGCGATGACAGGATAGTCTATAGAGTTATTACTCCACAATCAGTCACAAAGGTACAGGTTGAACCTTCGCCACAGGAATTGTTCTAGGAGATCGGCGGAGGTGACCGCAAATAAATGTTCTGCAGTTCTCCTAAACCAACAAACGACAGGCCAAAAGTCGCACTAAGTCCTCTCGAGAGTAGGATTATCAAGTCTGGGGACCTAATACACCTAAAAGCGTCTCTCTCTATACTAGAGAGTATAGGCCCCAAGTAACTCCAATCTGATGGAAGAGAAGTCGCAAAAGAATCAGAGCACTCCTTGATTCTTTAGTGTGATGGCGAGATATCCTCCGGTGTTCAGACTTTCGTCAAGGTTCTTTATCTGCGGATTTCAGCCCGTGTCTCCCACGATGACAGATCGACGGGATGCCCACCAAAAGCCTCAAGGTTTGAAGGCAGAAAGCAACCTGGACTTGGGCAGTCAATCGAATACCCTGGAGTTACCTCAAATTTGCAAAGCTCATGGCTGAGTATTCTGTAACGTAGGATTTTGACGCTACATGTAGGCACTACAGTAGATGGATTGAGAGCTTAGTTTATTAAATTAGGCAGCAAATTGACTCAACATCATGGTTTGACGCCAGTAAAAGCTTATCCTCGCCGATCATCCTCCATCGTTGTTAAATCATAGGTGCGGGTTTCCATAACACCGATTACGGCTTGTAGGTACGGATACTTCAAGTACTTTATAATTAGACTGAACCAAGCCAACCAATTGTTTCCTTGATCTCGGAGCCCTTGGTGGAGGCTGCGCATTCTATCAATTACCAGTCTCAAGTTGCGGCTATACTTCGTTTACGGCACGCGGCTCATCTGACGGGAATGCCGCGAAACCTGGTCCGCGTGATTGATCCCCCATGCTCATCAACAAAAGGTCCTGCTACCAATGAATCGCAAACCAAGAAACTAAGAGATATCTTCAACCAAAATGCCGGTGAACATTTATCTGTCCAAGTGCCTCTAAGTAAACCAGCCTCTTCTTACATGTACTACGCCGCGTTGTAGAGGCAATTTTCCACGTTCATACGGGTCTTTCAGGGGATAAATCTTCTATTTCCACCATGTTCGATGCGTCATTCCTGAACGAGTACCACTTCTTTGCTGCTACCTTCTCTTTCAATGATGGAGAGTTTCCGGACATAGTTGTACGTACTACTGATCCTATTCGCAACACTGGACTTATCAAATATAGAGAGATGATGCATCTAATCGACACTTGGACTTCCAGACCACCATGGCGCCTGGCCTGGACACACTGCCTGAGCCGCAAAGCTTGGTCAAGGTAGAAACATTCGATCAGATGAACGTAATGAATACTGCCACGCACCACAGTCTTACTGGCAGCAACCTGGCAACCACTTGCGACACAGCTGGAGGGACTCACGACATCACTTATCAACTCCCGACAACGCCAGGGGGTGATGTAGATCCAAGGCTAGATTTCTCCTTCGATCCATCACCCACGACTTGCACCACGGGCTGGGAAGAGAGCATGACTGCTCTGTCTGATGACTGGTTTGACGCTGCTACTGGCAATTTTTACCCCAGTCCGAGCGAGACGACCAGCTCCGAACCAACGGACATCGACGACAACTGGGTCCCTCAGGACGTCTACAAGATAGGCTTTCAAGATGAGAATGGTGACTGGCGGTGCAGCTACGCTGGATGCCGATCCCTCGCTGTGTTTGAGCGTGCCTGCGACCTTCGCAAGCACCATTCAACACACACCAAGACTCTCTTCTGTCCGCGCCCCGAATGTGCGTCATCCATGATTGGATTCGCATACCCCAAGGACTATAGGCGTCATCTTCGCTCTCACAAACCAAGCATTCCATGCCCCTACGCATTATGTGGCAGGCTATTCAGCCGGACGGATAACATGGTGAGTTTTCCGCGATCTTTCAAGAGTCCACCCGGAGGCATTGTCCTATTCAGCTCCAGTTGCCTCTTCTATGAACTCTTCACTGATGACGATATCAACGCAGAGAAGCCACTTCAGCAAAATACATGTGCGCAAGAGAAACACTCTGTTTTCTCGACCATGCCGAAACCGGAGCAAGGGTCGTGTACACATGCAGTCCTCTGAGAGCTACCCGCAGGCGTCAAGCCAGACTTTCGACCCAGAACAAACGGCCGGAGGTGACCTACTGTCTCAAAGTCTTGAGCTCGCAAGTCCAAGCCTGGATGACAATTTGTAGAAGTGCATACATGAAATCATGTGTCATTGTAATTCGAACCAGAGGACATCTTAAACAATATGAAGCTAGGATGTGATGTCCCCAGATGTCTGAGCCAAGATCCTTCACTATGGCGACAGTCAAATAGGGATTCTGTAGCCTGGCCTACAGAAGTATGCCCGTTGGCCTTTGTCTTGAGAGCGGCCTTGAATTCTACCTTAAGCAAGAGAGAACCGGTAGCAATGAGCCAACGAAGAAAAGCTGCAATACAATCAGTGTCCAACGCGCTGCTTTAGTTCAATAATGGCTCCAAGCACTAAGCGCAAACACATTTCACTGAAACAAGCAGAGAAGTTTTCGCAACTGTCAAGTTCGCATCCAGACGGTATCCTGCAAAGTGTTCCGATTTTTGAGTGTTGAGTGGATCTTGTGAGGTGGGATGGCAAACCGTGAAAGATGCTCAGGAGGAGCCGGGACGTGATTATGATCCGGCCTTCCACGCCGCCCATCAATCGCATTGCTAGGATTGCATCCATTAAGCTGAGAAATAGTATGTATTCCCTTACATATTGAGCCATGGAAAAAAGTGTTTGCGCATAATAGTGAGCATAAGGTAGGTCGGCGGATTCAACTCGGGCGGTGTTGATTCCGGACTTTCTAGGAGTGTGCCGACATAGGCTCAAACCTCATGTGCGTTCGTTTGGGGTAAGATACTGGCGAATTTGATTCAAAGAAGCTAAAGTTAAGCTTAAATCGGATTCAATACTTTATGTTATAATTAAGTTCAGCGAAGTCTACTATGACGGGATTTTAAGTTTCAGTGCCGGGAAGTACTTTAGCTTCTACCTAAGGATGCGCAACCCACTTCTGGATAGTTAACTACCGATGCATATGTTGCTAGTATCGTCGGCAAGATCGGACAAGAGAGCAGAGGACAGAACTTGACTATACAGCGTCGGTCGTGCCTTCCGAAATCTTCATTATATGTCAATCAACAGTGAAGGCGAGTGCATGCAGGAACGTTTGTGCTATGTGCACTTGTCCCGGCAACTTGATGACCAGCACAGTGCTCTTTACATGAGTTGATGGCAATGATAAGCCAACACACTGCGGGCTAGTTGGATCGCAAACGACGAGACGGTGCTTTAGTAGAAATGGTACGTTTTTATTAAATAATACCCCAGAACCTTCGCCATGAGAATCATCGAGATTAATGCCGATGCCTCTCCACTCAACAGTAGCCTGCTTGACGCAAAGAGTACCCATCAGGAATGACTTGAATGTTGCCGAAGCTAAGGCCGCAGTTGCTGTTAGCGTTGACGGTATAGCCTGCGCGTCTGGTAGAGTCGTAGATGTTGGCGTAGTAGTTCATTTGCACGCAACCAGTGCCGACAACTGCTTGGTTGATGTTGAGGAGCTCGACCTGGCAACCGGCAGCAGCAGCGAGGCTGACATAGCCTGCAACAAGGCAGATGGCGGCAGTGAACTTCATTGCGGGCTAAGGTAGTTATTTCTGGTATTATACGATCAGCTTCTTGGGACCCGGCGAGTTTTGATGCACCATTGGCGCTGCTCACCTTTGGTTCAAAAATGGTCTATATCGAAGTGACATAGAAAGCTGCTTGGGCGATGGAGATTTCTAGCGTTGATACTGGAGCCTGCTTCTTCTTGTAGTTTTCCCGTGGGGGCAAATACCTGAATAGTGATCACACATACTCATGTCGCTAGACTATCGTCAAGGAGTTGGCGCCAAGGACATGGAGGCTAGCTGATGGGCCCAGCAAGGAGCCTTGATTAATGATGGCTTCTCAGACTCTTCTCACCCAACCAAAATCAGTCTTGCATATTGCAACAGAAGACCTAGTAGAGTGCACGAATCATTCAATTCTCGCGGCTATAATATCACCCGGAGGGAGCCGGTCAACTCGGGTACAAGAGGACCCCGCGTGCTCCGGAAGCATTACACTGTTATCCCAACCTTTTCCTCTGCCACGCACGCAACCGCATGAACAGAGATTGTGGCGACGATATCGGCTATCACGACAAACTCCCACCAAATAATCGCAGTCGTACACCCTTGAGTGATGTATGGGACTTGTCAATGGGCGTAAACACCAGCTGAGCATACAACGTTGAAGTAATTCATCCCATGTGTGTCCAAGGCGAATTTACTGTGTGTAAGTCTCATGGGTCCTCGATGTAGACCACATGCTCGGCTACAGGGAATTGCCTCTTACCTTGCACAAAGTACGAGGAGGTCCTATGGAGGTGAACTAGGGTTGAAAAGTGGAATTTAAACTTCAGATACAACTGCATTACAATCCTGGTGGAAAGCATTGCCGGAATTGGGTAGAAAGGTACGCCAAGGAAATTGTCACCAATTTTGTCGATTACTGCTCCAGCAGCCATAGTCCGCTTGTACTGCAAATCGTTGACTTTATGTGCTAGCGCCAACTATGACCCCTGTGCCCGTACGGATGAGCCGCTCAGCTAACTCATTCTCCTCGTAGGTACAGTGGGGTGCTACTGCACTCTGTACAATAGGTAGACCATAATACAGGCGGGTCATTGTGAAATGCCCCTGAAATTGCAGCCCTGACTCCTGCTGGACGTTGAGCCCCTGTTAGGCGGCCCGGGAACGAGTCAGGGCTAATTTTGAGTGATGCGGACCAGAGTCCAAATGCTTGTAAGTTCGCGGTAATCAACCCAAGAAAGCCAAGGTCAGGGCTTTCAGTCTTAATAGCCTTAGGCTAGGGCTGAGCGCTTCAGGACGAAAAATCGCGATTGGCGGTCTGATCCGGAACTTGAAAGACGTGTTGCTGGAAGATCGTCTGAATACTCTTCAATTTCTACAGAAAGCAATGAGCCGCAACTGACTCCATTCTCAGCAGGAGGCTCAGAACGCCGAAGACCAATCCGTCTGGTACATATATGCTCAGTGCGGGCATGTTCCGAAGTTCCATCGCAAGTTATCATGTACAGTAGCTGGATCTGGGTCTGTTCCACAACATACAGGAGTTGGCAATCAAACTGACTTTCAGGTGATACGATATATTCCATCCGTACGGAGTGCTCCGTACTTGTGGAACCGCTCAGTGCCACAACCTGCCGGCAACCGGGCTTCCGACTTTACGGTAACGAAGAACGCATGCTGCACTGGCATGACACGAAGCTCCATCACCAGGCCGCTACTTCCGCTTGGCTCGAGAACCCTCGGAACTGCCCCGCCGACACTGGCCTCCCCCTTTAAGCCTCATTCAGAAGACGAGACTAAAGCTGTCGAGGGCGGTGCACTGCACCACTCATTACTATCTCCAACGTGTGTAGTTGTTGAAGTCTCATCTTCGGTCCGCATTTGGCGGCAGGCTGGCCACCAGCCCAGCCATGGGGTTCTGTGAGTAGAATAACAAAACCGCTCCTGTGAATGCTTGTCTTAGATCGGCACTATGGAGACTGGTGAAATGGAAACTGATAGCTTAATCGTGCGCGTATTGAGGCTATGCTTCTCGTTCTCGTTCTCTCTTTGCCAAGCTTTGCTGCGTCGTCCGAGGTGGCATGGCTTGCGTTGGTGTAAGTCATCCCCCGCGTGAGGCATCATTGGTTCGAGAACGCGGATCCGATCATTTCTCGGTAGCTTGTTGCTTGTAGGGCTTAATAACAACTTCGACAAAAGAGGGAGCCCGCACCTCAGGCAGTTTCGGCTGTCTGGGAAAAGGGTTGAAGAGACACGAAGGCGTCGATAACTTTTTCTATTTTAAAAATGAGTGTAGACGGGCGTCAGATTCAGGACCATTCCATGTGACCAACTAAGCAACAGGCAGAAAAATATGTGGTCTGGGCAGTTTCAAATTATACGAAAACAGGTCTTCTGGAGTAGAAGAATGAGTTTCCAATGTTCGTCAATGACAATCAACAGTTGAGGCCATAGGTCTTAGTCTCTATTCGCAGTGTCCTTAGAGGCCGCCAATGCACACACCACCTCGTTGGAGACTTTGATCCGGTGACTGGAGCCTGCCTTGTGCCAACTGTTGTGGCTGCATCAGTGCATAGTGCTTACTGCAGCAGTCGCTACCGAAAGATGCATGGTGCGCTAGGATGCTCCAGCCCAACGTTGTGCAGTTGATTGATTTCTTAGTTGCTAGAACAAGACTTTGGGGGAAGCCATCCATTGGCCAAACATCTCGAATTGAGGTGATGATATGCAGGCTGCGAAGGATCGCTGCTAGCTGCATGAGAGGGCATGCAAAGTGTATCTACCCCCTCTTTACCGACGGCCAGCCTGCCTCGTTGTCGCGATTGATCACAGCATGCCGCGTACAGAAACATGCTTGAGGCCAGCCAAGCGATCAACTATTTCTCCTTGCTGCCGCCCAAGCTCTCGGGTCTTCTCTCGATCACGCAATTCTATCGGCCAGACCTTATCCGAATTTTATCAAGATGGAGAGTCCAGTCGATAAACCCAGATACCAGTATCGAGACCTTGACTGGACCGCAAAGGAGATCCGCGTAGTCGAGCTTCTCCCCGGTACTTTCCAAGAGAGAATCCGCATCAAGTTTCACCATGTCGCTCTAGCACCGCGGCGACCTTCCGCAATCAGATTGCCCCCAAGTCGCGATGAGATCCAAAAAACCCTTCCATCAGACTGGATCGTCCGGGTCTGTCTCGATGGTCGCTTCATCTTCGAGCGCATCAAGGATTACAAACCAGAAGAGCCCTACGAGACATCCTGGCTGCACCCCGTGACGGGCGTCGACCCAAACGTGAGCTTCGACGACAACAAGCTCGAGTATGAAGGTCTATCGTACGTCTGGGCCCCTGAAGGCAGCGAAGAAGATGCTCTCGTCCTAGAACCAACAGCCCCGTCCACGGGCGCGGCCTCGTCGAGCCTCAGCATCAGGCCGAACCTCGCCGCGGCCCTTCGTCACCTGCGATACCGCGATATTCCTAGGCGCATGTGGATTGACGCGCTGTGCATCAACCAGACCGACCTCGAGGAGCGCAATAAGCAGGTCCACATCATGTGCGACATCTACCGCCGCGCAAGTCACGTCGTCGTCTGGCTGGGGCCGGAGAGGGAGGACAGCAAGATCGCCATGGCTGCTCTGCGGCATCTCGGCGAGCAGGCCGTCTACACCGAGCGCGGGGCGTGGAGAACAAATCCGCCCGGTTGTAGTAACCCGGAGCTGGCTCGCGCGTCGGTGCCGCTTCCATACGACGAGCAGACCTGGCGATCTATCACGAACCTGTTGCAGCGTTCCTGGTTCGAGCGTCTTTGGGTATGGCAAGAGGTTCGTTTAGCCGATGAGCGCTCTTTCATGCTCTGCGGCCCCGACAGCATCTCGCTCTCTCTGTTCCGTCGCGCAATCTTCTGTGCCAGCGACAAGAAGTACCTTCCGAGCAACGAGGTGCGCGGGCTGATTCTTGACGCTGTCGAGGTGATGCTGCCATTCTCCAACCAGCCATTCTTCCGTGAGCTGCAGACTCTCAACTGGAAGGGGTGCGCGAATCCCCGAGATAAGATCTACGGAGCACTGGGAGCTGCTCCGGCGTCGATCAGGGAGCGTATCACCCCGGACTATTCCCTGCCAGTTGAGAAGGTGTACGGCCAGTTCTGTAAGGCGTATCTCGAGTGTCTGGAGAGGCTGGACTTCCTTGACCGTTGCAACATCGACGCTCGTGAAATTGATGGGCCTACCTGGATTCCAGATTGGTCCGTTCCCGTCGATAGAGCAGTGCGGCTTCCGTATGCCGATATCTTCTACGCAGCCGGAGCTTCAGCGGCAGAAGTCAACTTCAAGTCCGAAAGTGGTGTAAATGAGGACAAAATCATGGAAGCCGCGGGAGTACACTGCGGTACCGTATCGTTCGTAGGACAAAAGTCGCCCCCTGACTCCGACGGTCTTCTCACCGCCGTGAAAACTTGGGAAGCAGAAGCACTTTCAACAGAGCGATACGCACCGACAAACGAGAGAGCCATAGACGCCTTCGTCACTCTTCTCGGGCTGGGATACATGATTGAGAGGTGGCCGCAGTGCAACAGTCTTCTCACGGTGCCCGAAGCGGCAGACCTGTACAGCAAGGAGTTCATCGATGCCAAAGGCGATGCAGTCTCCCATGAGTCGCTTAACTTCATCCGCGTGCGGCATCGGTACTTCATCAAGACGGACACGGGATACATGGGTACATCTCATGCACGGCCAGAGATCGGAGACAAGCTTGTAGTCCTGCTGGGTTGTCCATCACCGTTGCTTATACGCCCAGATCCGGCGTCAAGTTCGGAGGACCAACGGTACAGGGTCGTAGGAGCGACTTACAGTCATGGCCTAATGGATACAGAGGCACTGCTCGGCCCCTTACCAGAGGGTTGGAGGGCTTGTATGGCTAGAGAGTCTGGGTTCTTTGACTCTATGCATTTCTTCTCAACAATCGCGGACAAGACGACAAAGGAGGATCCGAGACTCGGCGAAGACCCGGCAGACTGGGAGAGGCTTGAGGCTGTAAGGACGGGCAATGACCCGTGGAACTTTGCTCGGTATCGCAGTCGGAAGACAAGAGAAGTGATCAACTCGGATCCAAGGTTGACGGTGGACGCCCTGAAGTCACGGGGTGTTCGTGTGGAGTGTTATAGCTTGGTGTAAGCCTGACCACAAATTACACGCAGACTGAGGTCCGATCCTGGACTCCGTATTCTCACCCTTGGTTTCATTCTTGGGGACTTGATTGTATTGCAAAGTAATTATTGGAACTTCAATCCCTTTACGATACCATATTGTACTTGATAGGCATTATTATTACAAGGAATCTTCCACCGTTGTTCGAGCAGCAGACCGGTCTAAGCAGTGTAAGTCGGCAACACAACAGAGGTGAGATTCTAATCATTTCACACACTGCGAGTCTCGAGCCGCTCGGGTTGTTTTTCACACATCGGAAGGTGGTGCCTTCCTCACATTGTTAGGGCGACTGCATGATTGCCTGTCTGGAAAACCTGCGTCTCACTCTACTGAGCCACAGTGGATCATCTCATGTTCGTCACCCATGTCTACACAATAATCTACAAACAAAGCCTATATACTCCCCCTCAATCCCATTCCTGTCACCAGCAACAGCAGGCACCCCTCTAGGTCGGGGGGTCAGGACAAACTGGCTGGGTGGTGGAATGGTTCAACAATCGATTACCCCTTCAGCCTATTCGACTGGCTACGAGTTCGAGTCCGCATACGATTCCAGCATGAGCACCATAATAACCGCCAAGAGATGTAGCCACACCGGTCGTGAACTCTTTTTGATATACTAATCAACCAGCTACTCATATGAAGTCCGCTGTGTCTCTCTTTATACTTATATCCTTGAGATGTTAATTTCTATAGGTTTCATATAGTATACCTCTTATTAGACTGGAGGAAGTCTAAGAGAACCTTAGTTTACTCTTTTCAGTCTCTTCATCAGAACTCTCAAGATCAGCGGTGTGTGGTAGTGACACGGCTCGCGAGTGGAATCAAGTAGACCCAGAGATGAGCCCCACCCCCGAAGATGAACGGCGGACATAGCTCAGTTGGGAGAGCGTCAGACTGAAGCGGGTCGCTCGAAAGAGAACTTGAGAAACTTCATTCAATCAATCTGAAGGTCGTGTGTTCAATCCACACTGGCCGCATCTTCGCTTTTTGCTGTTCTTACCAACAAATAGACTTTGGTCAGGGAAGGTTTACGGCCAAGTGGGTTACCTATTTGCATGCACGGGTGGTGGTGGTGGTGATCATTCGGGCTGAATCAAGCAAGGTGTGTGTGAGTGAGTGAATGAATTGAGGTCGGGAGCCTGGAGAGGTGAGAGTGTTGCTGACTAAGACATCCCGTGGCTCCGCACGTCCCTAGGTAGAGCCGCCACAACGGCCCGGCCCCACCTTCCAGAATTTTGCGTCGGTCGCGGTCTGGAGCTCTCTTTCCCCATGCGCGTCAACTCAACCTGGAAGGCTCTTTCAATCCTGGGCGGTTGCCTTCTTTGCAGAGCTCTCTGATTGAGGTCCCTTTCCCACCGTCAGACCCTTCTTCTTGCCAGCACCACCACTCTTTTGTATTATTTCCACATTCATTTTCTTCTTCGACTCCCATCACATTACAACGCAGCCGGCGAGCTCTACCCTCCATGGAATAAACCAAGCGTAGCGCAGGATATTAATCGACTCGGCGAAGATGGAGAAGGACTTGCGTTTGCGCCTTGTGGTTCGGCGCCACGCCGTGCCCGATGTCAAGCTTCTCTGGAACGTCACCGCCACCGATGACCTCACCATCTCGAAGCTCCTCGCTCTGGTCAACGATGTCGTTCCCCTCGAGAGCGGCGAATGGGGCCTGGAGGACTACGCCGTTGAGCTTAAGGATGGCTCTGGCGACGGCTTCGAATGCGTCCACTATCACCTTGTCTACAAGGTACTTAAGGACGATGATCAAGTCATGTAGGTCCACGAATTCATCGACTTCCAAGTGCCTTTCGAAAGCTAACACTTGCTAGCATTCGCCCCCTCCTGACCGGCGACCTGAAAAGACGGCGACTCAGCGGGCGACACCAGATTTCCGCCGACGGAAAGCACCTTGTCGACGGTCTCGCCTTCGGGCGCCCCTGGCTCAGAGCCCCCCGAGACCGCCCTACTGTCAGTCTTCCCCCGAGAAAGAAGGCTCGAATCACATACGTCAGCGAAGATGAAGAAGGCTCCCCTTCTGAGGCCGAGGCAGAGCGGCCGATGCTGGAGTACGAATCCACAAGAGCACAGGAGGATCCCTCGAGCGTCCAACTCCGCACGCGGTTCTACGATGCAGATCTAAGCAGCGACTCTGAGGCAAGCGAGGACGACTTTGAGCCTGCCGCCGCCGACGATGACGATGAGGGCATGGACTCGGATAATGATGACATTCAGGATGAGCTCCGTTTGCTTCGAGAAGACAATGCCGCCGTTAGAGAAGGCGATATCCTCGAAGAGCTGCGAAACATTAGAGACAGGAGAGCATCCAGTGGAACCGCCAGTAGCAGGCGCTCGTTGGAGACGTCTGATGACTCTCCACTACCGTCAGCGAGCAATGCGCTAGTCAGATCTGGAGGAAGGTCAAATAGGTTCCAGCTAAACTTGGACACGCTCGACAAGATTGCTGCACTGAGAGCCGCGTTCCCTAGCGCTCAGGTCTCGACGATCGAAAGGGCGCTGTTGAGATACGGCGCCAACTTCGCCAGAGTATATCGCAAACTGAATAAGACATTCGAATCCCGTCTCAGCCTCCAGCAGACTTTGGATCATCAGGCGAGGAGTCTGTCCAGCAGTCCAATCCGACACGCGAACTCGAGCACGGGGCGTGAGCTCGTTCTCCGGGAATCGAGTCCACTTGCTCGGTCCTCTCACGCCACATCCCATGACCAGGATGAAGATGAGGAAGAGGAGGAGGATAGCGATGAACCCTCAGAGACCCTGAACCATAATGCGTACGCCGATCATGCTTCGATTGGCAGTGACGAAACCTCAACTTCGGACTCCGAATCAGGTTCCGATCGCGCAATATCTGAGTCTGATGAGGAGATGGGCAACGCTTCCGAAAATGATACAGTTGCCTCTTCTTCCGACGACGAATCCGACAGCGAATCGAGTGAAGCGGGGGCCGGTGGGCCTATTGCGGATGAAGACGATTCAGACTCGGCCGACGAAGAAGCCTCGAGCTCAGACGACGAATCGAGCTCCGACATTTCATCCAGCGATGAGTCAAGTGTGGCATCTGCAAAAGACCGGTTGTCCGCGAAACAGGCCGCGGTCTTCGAGGTCTCATCCGATTCATCGTCAGATTCATCTTCAGACGACAGCAGCAGCGAAGATTCTAGCTCGGATTCCGAACCTGAGGAGCTTCCCAGCAAGACCCTCTCTACCCAACGGATTCGTTTTGAACCCAACGAAACCCAGGAGCTGCAACAAGCAGCACCAGTCGCCGCAGCCCAGACCAAGCAAGATCAGCCCGATGTGCCTCCTGGTCAGGGATTGAGCAAGACGCAAAAAAGAAATGCGAGGCGCAAACTTGCCAAGAAAATGGCCGGCCAGAAGAGGTCCCCATCGGCTCAGAATAGCGAAGAGTTCTCCCCAGCGGAGATGTCTGAGATGCAGGCAGCATTCTTGGCAAGAAAGCAAGCCTTACTGAACGCTATTGCATCCGACGGCCCAGCTGAGACTAGCCAAGAGAAGTCCCTTGAGGTACCCGACTCTGCACCTCAAGATGTGGGAACATCAATTGCTGATGCCGACATGATGGAGACTTCACAGAGCCCTGTCGCGCAAGAAGCTGCCTCTCAGCGGCGCATGAAGCCCAATGTTGGAGCTGCCCGCCGCATGCTCATGGGATCTTTGGGGCTCAAGAACCCGAAAAACAAGGCTGACGAAGACAAGATTCGTCAAGATCTGATGAAGGGTGTCCGGCCTCACACCAACGCTCGTCTGTCAGAAGGGGCTTCTCAGCCTAGCGAATCCGCACAGATCCAAGAATCGGTACAGGAAGACCCCGAAGCCTGGCGCGAGAAAATCGCTTACCGAGCCGTAGAATGCTGCCACGACGGGGTCGAGCTGTCCGAACCGCCCTTCCCTTTTGTCCAGCGTTGGGACCCCCAACAGCAGGTGGAAGAATGGTTCGGTTCGAAGAATAAGCGCGGGGGCAAGCGTAAGCGCGTACAGCGCGATCAAGCTCAATATCACGAAAATGCCGACTCTCAATCGTCGAAGAAGCGTCGCGTAACCGATGACAGTTTTGGTGTGACCTTCTCCGACGCGATTGAGTCTGCTCAAGAGGGAGACACGACACTCAATTACGACGATTCGTCTGACGATCCACCAGCACTCAAGAAACCAGCTGAAGAAAGCCAGGCGACGGACATTGACGATCTCCCTTCACTTCCATCCGATCTGTCCACTCTTCCGGACCTTCGCCCAGGAGAAGCCAAACTAGGCATGGTTGTCACTTGGAAGCAACTGGTCTTGTCATCACAAACCAACTGGCAACCCCAAGTAGTGAGCTTGACCGGCGTTCTAGTCAGGATCTATGATGAGGACGCATCCGATCTTGAATTTATATTGGCTCATCGTGATCGAGGCGTGGATCGGACCGAGAAGACCTACGACGAAGAGACTGGGGAGAGAGTTTACGATCGCTTTGAAGCCCCCGATGACGACGAGGATGATGAGGATGCAGAAAATGAACTCGAAGAAGGACATCGACGCGTGAAATATCTGGAACTGATCGAGCCCAAGATTGTGCAGTTTCCTCTGGAAGATGACACAAAACAGGGCGAAAACGAAAAATCGGGCGCCTCGGAGGGCGAAAGTGGCCCTACAGACAGCGTCATTCACGAAACCATATACGACGGCCAAAGCCAGCCGTCTCAGGTTAATGGAGAAATTTCCGGTCAGTCCGAGGTGGGTGAAGTTGGAAGTCAGTCAAAAGTCGATGCAAAGGGAGGTCGAGCCAGGGCTAATACGGATGAACAACAGCCTCAAGTCGTCGTGGGTAGTGACCCTCATCTTGATGCATCCGCGGACGGCGATGATTCTAATCAACTCGATACACACTTGAAGGGTGATGACAACAATACGGACGAAAGCGATGTGCCCACCCCGCGAGCCAAAAGCCAATCGAAAGACGATAATACGGTGCCGACAACAGAAGACGACTCTCAAAACTCCAATGGCAATGCCCTCTCCATCTCATCGGATCGTCGTCATGAGATCAGCATCATGATCGAAGAAGCAGGCTTTCGCAAAGATGTGTCACCGTCAGTCAGTCGTCACAAAACAAGCAGCCCATCCCGCCAGTTGCTCGACCAGCTGCAAGCTGCCAATACACCCCGAGTCATTTCAAAGTCCCCGCTGTCCCAAGACAGCGTTGCGAAGAACGTTGCGCCAGCGCCGGATAATAGCGGAGATGCGGCTACTAAACTTGCCGCTGAAGAGGTCATTCCGCCGCCCTCATCTGTGAGTAGCATTCGCAGTGGTCGGCAACTCGACCCGGATGACTTTAGCTTCAATATGGGAGGCGACGACACCCAGATGATGAGCGACGCTGGTCATGGTTCCCCTTCTGTGGATGCATCGACTCCGAGAGCTCAGGTCCGCACGCCAACCAGAGATAATGACACACCTGAGCCAAACTCCGGCGACAAGTCGTCTCTTCCGTCACTGGAGAGCCTGTTCAAGACGGCTTCGCAGCGAAATTCGCAGAAGAACACACAGAGCCAAATCAAGTACCAGGTATTGTCGGCGACAGAGTCACGGAAGTCCATTGTTTCTCGCAATGAAGAATACGACGCCGCCATGCGCCAAATCGACGAGGCTAATGAAGACGGTGAAATCGAGGTAGAAGAAGATGAGTCGCCCAATGAACTTGGGAAGACACGGAAGAAATTGTTCCCCAACTCGAGCCAGCCAGATGGAGTGACTCTCTCTGAGTCGCCAGACTTGCCGGATCTCAAGCCGACTAAGTCAGTGCCCTCATCACTCGTCGAGGTGGAGGACATCAAGCCCCGTCGACTACGTGAGCGGGTCCGGACAGCCTCTCCATTTGTGGTTCCTCCTGGATCGCAGGTAGTTACATTATCCTCGAGCCCGCCTAGCTCGCCGCTGGAGGAGAATTACGCGGAAGACGATGTTGACGAGGACTATGAGGGGAACAACAGCAGCAGTCTTCCGCGTGGATCCGGCTGGGTGCAGAAAAGCAAGCCCGCCAAGGCCAACCCGCGGGCGAAGAGTGTGCCGGCAGCGAGAGGCACGGCCAAGACGGCGACTGCGGGTAGATCCGTTCCGTCGAGCTCGATGCCCGCGAGATCCGCCGCAAAGGGGAAGGGGCCACGCAAGTCATCGGCAAGGTTTTAGGAAATGTTGTCTGGTAGGAAGCGTTAGGCAGATGGTGTGGCGGGGCGTCTGCAAGTGTATGTAATAGGGGGGCGAGAAGGTCGAGAAGTTCTCTCGACATGTTTACTAGCTTTTTCTTGCTTTGAGAAATGAGGATACCCGTACCCGGCAGGGTACTCTGCATCAATGGAATATATTGTGCAAAAGTCAATGTCCGCTATCCATTCACGTCGTTCTTGCATGGGCAGCGGTGCAACCGCGCAAGTGACCCGTTTGATCGAAACAGGTTTTGTGGAACTCCAGCCTAGTAGGGTGTAGATCTACGGGTGTGCTTGCCGCTGTAACATCGCGTCGGACGCTGTCGCCTGCATCATTGCGTGTAAATCACTCAATGTGGGCGTCTTGTCAGCTGTATGCAACGAGTCCCGCTGTAGGGGCTGCGGATCGGGTCCGAAATGGACGGACCACGGAGTTTGAGGGTGGCCGATGGCCGAGTCTGGGGAGATAAGTCCGTTGGTGGTCGGTGGTTGGGGCCGGTTGTTTCGCCGACTTATGTTGAGCTGATGAACCTGTGCGTGCCGCCCGTGAAGCAAAGGATCCCTGAGCTCCGTAGTTCGTCTTGACCTTTTGCTTTTTGACGACGAATAAGCTTATTCTTGGCACTCTCATTAACTTTCACGTTTGCGAACCTTGGACTCCGTAAATCGGTCAACGACAGGGGTCTATATCCCGACCATACTGGACCATTTTACCTTGCCAATCTCGAAAAAGATAAACGATGATAACTGGCAGGAAAGCAGGGAGTGAGGAACAGGCTCTCTACCAGTGTTCCAGATGTCGACGCCGCTACCATCGTACGGAGCATCTTGCGCGCCATGTCAGGTCTGTGCATACCAAGCAGAGGCCGTATACGTGTAGGGCCTGTGGGAAGGGGTTTGGGAGATTGGATGTCTTGAGAAGGCATGAGACAAATACCCATGATGGCGGTGGTAGTCGATCTGAGTCTGAGACGGCGGTGATTGTCGTGGAAGGGGAGAGGAACGGGGCTGATGAGTTACCGAGGGAGGTTGATGGGGGCGAAAGAGTTAGATCGGCGTGTAAGGCGTGTAAGGCTGCCAAGGTAAAATGTTCCGAGAGAAAGCCTTGTGCGAGGTGTGTTGGACGGGGAGGTTTGTGTGAGGTTGAGGGGGACAGCTGCGTTGGTGGTCCTGGTTCTGGTTCTGGTTCTGATTTTTTGGACGAGGTCCAGGCTGGACCGGAGATTTACACGCAAACGCGGCTAACTATCCAAGGGACCCTCGACGAGACGGCACCGGCGATGATGACGATGGATGACTTTCCCTTTGGCGCGGAGTGGAACATCGCGATGTCGGATTTGTCGTACCTGCAGACACGGTTCGACGAGGCTGGGCCAGAGGGGCTGGATGCCATCGCATCTGATAGGCCGAGGCAGACACAGGAGAAGGAGCAAGAGCAAGGGCAGAACGGCGGTACCGATATGTCCATGTCGCCACCCATGACGCCGGAAAGCCATAGGACTGGATCTTGGGAGCCGTCGAGTGATGAGAACAGCGAAATGGAAAGACCGCATCTCGCGGCGGACGAGGAGAGTTTGAAAGCAGGGGGAACATCCTGGACATCGAAGACGCCTTGCTTCGGTGGTTTTAGTGTTGGAAATGGCAGCGATGTTGTCGGTTTATCCATCTCGCCAGTGGCACGGAACGCTATTGTCGGTATGATCCTCGACAACACATCCCGTGCCAACGCCGGACCTGTTTTGGCTGCTTTCCCGTCGGTGGAGGCGCTCAATGCGCTTTTGGAGGTGTATGCTCGCGACTGCTTGGGGAGAGCTTCATCAGTACATTGTTCTTCGATGGCGACAGCGAAGTATGGGATCATCGACGTGGTACACCTCCCTACACTGCGTCTTGACCAGCAGAGGCCGGAGTTGTTGGGTGCCTTGATTGCCGTGGGCGCCACTAATGTTGGTTCGGCTGTAGCAAGGAGGTTCGGGTACGCAATGCAGGATGTTGTGAGGGTTTCTTCTTTTCGGAGTGTGAGTGTCTTCCTCGGCCGTCTCCTGTGTCTCTTTTCAGTTTTCGAAGCCGGTGGGGGGTGCTCTTACCTTTGTGCTTCAGTCACTAATGAAAACGACAGTGGGAGAACAACCACGCCAATCTCTGCGACATTAGCCTATCCCAGGCCTTTTTTCTGCAACAGCATATCGCATTCTTCAGCGGCATCCAGCGCAAGGTTGCATTCGCAGAAGCCTGTTCTGGGTGTATGCAGGTGATGATGAAAAACGGCGGGCATATTCAAGGAGCAATGGAGACTGATCAGACCCTCTATCAACGCGAGAATCTGTACACCCTGAATGATGGAGCTCTTGAAGAAGTTTGGCGGAGGTGGTCTGTTCGTGAGGCAAGAAGGAGGTTGGTGTATGCTGCGTACATCATGGATAGCCATGTCGGGATAGCGCATGGGACTAGGGGTTTGGCTAGGTACGGAGACATGAGTATTCCGTTTCCTTCGCCGGGGGGGTTATGGAGGGCTGAGTCGGCGGTGGAGTGGAGGGAGGAGATGATGCGGTTAATGCTGAGGCCAACAACATCTCCTTACTCTTCTTCCTTCTCCTCCTCGCTATCGCCGACCCTGTCTTTGAAGGACTTGATGGGTGATCCGACGCTGGTTGCTAGATCCCTCCACCACAGTACGGTGAACAAGGACTTCGTCACTCAAGGCTTCTATGCTGGTCTCTGGGTGCTGGTTGAAGAATGCCGCCAGCTGAGGGCCATCAGCGGCCACGGACAATGGAGCGCCATGATTTTATCCTCACGGCGGCTAGAGCTGGGTTCGACGCTCAAATTGTTTGAGTCTTCCTTGCGAGCGGCGGGGTGGACGATGTCCTCTGGTGCGGAGATGATGTATGAGGTTCTTCATATGTACATCTCGACGTCGCTGGATAGGGATGAGTTTCGTGGTACTGGTGCGTCACCCTCACTGCCTCAACACATCCACAGCGAGGTCTCAATAAACGGGGTTGAAGAAAGCCCGGAGGACCGGAGCGCGGTTTGGAGAGCGGGCAAGGTTCTTCGAACGGCAAGGAGGCTCGAGCCTGGGACGTTGAGCGGGGTTCATTGCATGGCTCTCCGGGATGCTACTGTTCTTCTTTGTCGATTTGGAAGGGGTATTTCTTTGCGTGAGGAGGCGGTGATGGGGCAGCATCATCCAGGGCCGCGATGTGGTATTGGCGCGGCTGCTGTGTTGGTGCTGGATGGAGAGGAGGATGTGCCAGAATATCAGGTATTGGACAGGAACGTCCGCCTTATGCTGCGTGGCACCGGAACGGAAGAGGATACTGTGGCACTTGCGGATATAACGGGTGTGATGAAGCTGTCGCGGAGGATCATTGAGGGAAATTGGAAGGGCTCGAGAATGCCCGGTGGTGCGGAGGAAGTTTGTTGTTTGTTGGATGGTCTCGGGAAGGCGTTCGGTCCGTGAGACGTTGCCTCCGGGGGGGAGAGGCAATGGCGAAAGACGAACTTGCATTTGTTGATGAGGTGTGGCGTAAATCAGCAGGAAGTCCGTATCGATACTTCCTTCTCGTCTTCTAGCTAAAAACGTCAGTCAGCAACCCACAAGACTTCCGTGGGCAGGACACAGGTGATCGGCTTCACTCCACCAGCCGATTCTGAGCCCCAGATCTTACATTGTTATCAACAGCTCTCTGAGCACTGTTTAATTACTTATGTACTATGTCTTGAACTACCTTGGTATTACCGCCTATCCTTCCTCCTCCTAGACCGCCTTCCCTTGCAATGCTTCTGCCCTATGCCGGGTTCTGGAACAAGTTGATGTATACATTTACTGACCAGCGCCATGATATCCGAGAAACACATCATAGGAACCAAAATGGAAAACATTGTTACTGTAGTTGACTGCATTCCCCCTCACAATCAAGCTGAATGAGGGAACGCGATACAACCTTGGGGCTGCTCATCAATCCACTCGTTAAGCAGCGGCTCAAACGACACACGTAGCACCTTCATTCTTCTGTCGCTACTTGTCCTCCACTTCGCCAAATTCATACATATTGGATCAGTTGTGCAAAATGACGCTAACGGCATCTGCGGAAGGTGGTGCAGCTGAGCCGAACCAGCTAGCTAGCCTCCGTGCTAAGATCGCCGGCTCGGCTCTCCACCTCCGGGTGACCCCTCCTAGTTGAAGGTAAGCAACATTCTTACGTCAACGTGTCAACGTGTCAACGTTATAATCCTTCGAGAATTTCCTAGCGATTATGACTCCTTACTGAACTCCAGGTCAAGCTTTATATGAACTACCCCATCTTCCAAGGAAATCCTCGTGTGTGGGTTCTTGAGTTACTCATACCCGCCAAACATACTCGTACCTTTCACCAGCATGACGTCTTATTGCAATACTCGAGATAAACGATGGAGGCTTCCGCCTCGAAAGGCCCTCCATCCGACAGAAAAGAGCGAGAGGCTTCAGATTGGCATCATTGGAGCGGGAATTGGAGGATTGATGGCCGCCATCAGCCTACTGGAGAGTGGCCACGATGTCGAGGTGAGTCTGTGAGACCAAAATTTGTTCCCTTCATTAAGAATTCGCTGAAACCTTTGGATGATTATACAGATCTATGAAAGGTCACAGTTCAAGAGCGAGGTAGGAGCTGCGATCTCAACACCTCCCAACTCCACGAGAGTGCTCAACTATTACGGTTTCGACTTCGAGCGGGCCAGGGCCACCACCGCGGAGAAGGTATTTCTATCACTACGCCTCAAGTCCACATATACAATGAGGAGAGCTTACAACTGTTTTGATTCTAATTCGTATGAAAAAAGTACATCTACTACGACGACCCCGACAACATTGCCAAAACGCGAATGATAACATGCACCGACTACACACCCAGATACGGCGCCTCCTGGCTGTTCTTCCACCGCGTTGATCTCCACAACGAGCTCAAGCTCCTAGCCACGGAGCCTACACCAACGAGGAAGAGCGTTGCTCGCTTGCACCTCGGCGTCCAGGTGTCTGATATCGACACCGACGGGACCATTCACTTTGAAAATGGCGAGAGTGTCCAGAAGGACGTACTCATCGCGGCCGACGGCATACGAGTAAGCCTCACTCACCCTTACACAGGTCGGTCTACAACGACTGATTATGGTCACAGTCTTCCTTCATCTCAAAGGTCGTGGACAACGCCCCGCAAGCACAGCACTACATGTCGATGCTCCGATTGATGGCTCCAGTAGAGGACCTCCGCGACGACCCGGAGGTCGTAGCTCTTTTTAAAGATGGCTTGACTTCTATTCGCATCAGCTATGGGACCATGCGAAGTGCCATCATCTACGGATGTCGAGGGTAGGCGTCACCCTAGTCAACTCCGCCCCTTGCCCCTTGTATTTCCCAGAAGCTGACAGGTTCACGTACTACAGAGGCTCGCTTCAAAACATCGGCTTGCTGTACCATCCTGACCTTGCCATTGATTCAGAAGGTAAGCGACTCAGGGAAAATTTTCCATGAGAGAGCTCTCTGCTCACCTCATTACCAAGGCAACGACATTTCGTCGAGAGAGGACTTTGTCTACAAAGTCGTCGAAGAGTATCCGAAGCCTGTACAATCCGTCTGCATGTAAGTTTCAAGCTTCTGAGACATTCCACCAACAGAAACAGGTCTCATTAACCAATCTCGTGATTCTTAGCAATGCAAGAGGCGTTGGACAATGGAAGGTCTTCACCCGAAAGCCGCTCGACAGGCTCGTCCGGGGCCGAGTAGTCCTCATAGGAGACGCAGCACACCCTATGCCCCCAGGTGAGCAGAAGAAATCTTACACCAACATAATCATCAATCTCCCCCAGGCCAGAGTCCCAAGAAGGTCTGATAACGGCTAACTCTCTATAGTGCGCGCCCAAGGTGCAGCCATGGCGATCGAAGACGCCGGAGCGCTAGGCGTGCTGCTCTCAAACATGACATCTAAAGACGACATCTCAAGCCGGCTGAACATGTTCAACCAGCTGCGGGTAAAGCGCGTCGCCGCAACGCAGACCGCGTCTTCGATGCACCAGTGGGATCCGACTCGTGTTTCCGAGGAGCAGAGACAGTACTTTGACGGCAACGTCCCGCGTAAGGATACCCCCCCTGGATCTATGTCGCTCGAGTACCTGTGCTAATCACCGCTTCTTCTCGGGAAATCTAGAGACTATTGAGGACATTGAAATATTCAGTTACGAGAACAGTGTCATTCGCGACGCATTTGACCTCTTGGAAAGGGCGTGATGTAGAATTGGTAGCATCCGGTGATTCAGGCACGATGAGGTAGTGAGGCTTAGAAGGATTTGCATCTCGTGGTCGGTCGACGATTTCATCCTATATTTATTTCAAAGCATCACACAATCCACGTGACTATCCTGATATTCCGAATGAACACACGAGAAGAGTATATACCCCCCCTCAACGCCGTTCCCGTCACCAGCCAGCAGGCGCCCCCTTGGGGGTCAGGTCAAAACTGGCTGGGTGGTGGAGTGGTTGAAGTCCACGAACAGCCTGATCGGTGAAGGCTCAGAGGTCCCGAGTTCGAGTCGAATATATATATATATATATATACCGTAGATATAGATATGAGCGCCAGAGATGTAGCCCCCGTTCGCCACCGGGGGGGTGAACTCTTTTGTCTTTTTGGAAGTACTTCAGCATTGTGGACATCATTAGGAGTATGAAGCTACTAACTAGACTACCTAGTATCTAGCAGAAATGGGTCTTTGATTTCGAGGTTGTGGTTGAATCATTCGAGGGAAGCACCGATGGGCCAAGAATTACGTGCTGCCTGCCTGGCTTGCAATTGCACTTCCGGGCTTTCAGATTCAGCAGGCGACACTGGGCCGCTAAGTACTTTTCGCATTGGGCGAAGCTACTTAAATATCTTGGGATTCTCTGATTCTCAAGAGTACTCTATCGCGTTGCTCCCGTTTTCTCGGCGACTGAGTCCTAGTACTTGCGCTGCAGTGATCGAGGCACGTTTGTCTCCTTCTCCCAAGACGGACCGGGACCATAGTCCGTGTGGGGCCCGGTCTTTCCGTCGCCGGTGGGGCCCACCCTCCCGCCCCGTATTCGCAGAGGTACTCATCCCGAACGGAGGTGAAGATATCGGGCACCTGCCCAAAAAACCCATCCTGAACCGGTTCGTCCTCGGTGGCCCAGATGCTACATGTAGCTGCATTAGAGCCGTCTCCAATCCAAAGTAATCACTTCCAATAGAGCAAGAACCGCAACCCATCGCACTAGCAAATCCTCCCCTCCCCCAAAACCGCACAGTGACCTCCCACCCAATCATTCCCGACAACACCAACACCTTCAAACATGCACGCAAATAGAAAAATGACGAGACACCACGCAAACCCCCAATGCCATGCAATCACCAAACAAGAAACATGTAAAGTTGGCATTCACCTTCTAGAAAAGGCACGGGGGAAGAGGTGCCTGAATGACACCCCACCAAAATGCCAAACGCGCTTTAGTCCAGTCACACACACCCCAATTCATCCATCCATCCTCTGGAACGCGAACCCCAGTGACTCCTCCTGCATACCAAGCGCAGGACAGAAACCTCCCAATCCACCACCACCTACCATCCATCCATCCACCACTCTTTTTGCTTCCCGCGTCACGACTCACCGTCAATCAAAATGTTCCAGGTGCTTCTCGCCCCCAAACTCAGTAATCACAATGACGAAGAAAGTGATAAAGGCACAAACGTGGCCGGTCGAAAATGTACAACACCTTGTTCTTTTGTCTCATTGACGTTGACACTTCAATGTTCAACCACCCATTGTTCAACTAAGCATTCCAACATTCTCTTCTAAGCCGTACACATACTTGCTCAACACCGAAGAGCCTCAAGGAGCTATTCCTGTTCATTTCTTACCTGACTTATATCAAAAAGAGAGCCGGTCTGACTCACCTCATCTTCAATCCTCCTAATATCCCATCCCCTTCTAAACCCAGTACATCCACTTACAACGAAACTCACAATGCATCCCCTCTCCCATCTCATCCTCTCCCTCATCCTCCTCGCAACCTCAACCTCCGCCCTACCAGCAACACCAGCAACACCCACAACCCCACCACCGACATCAACATCCTCACCAGACACACAACAACCTCCAATCCAGCCCTTCCTCCCCACCACCGGCGCGGCCCTCCTCCCAACAGGCATCCCCGCCTCCCCACGCCCGAACCCGAACCAACCTCAATCGCAATCACCAGCACCATCACCAATCTACACAACCCTCACCCCCAAATTCCCACCTTCAAACTCGTCCTCCCCCTTCCCATCGGGACACCACAACTCCACATCGCCCTGCGCATCAGGCCGACCCCTCCGCCTGGGCCCAGCCCGCCTCCACAAGAAACCACACAACCAAACCTCCTCACCGTCGTCCCCTTCGCCGTCAAAAAACACACCCCAAACCACAATCCCCGCCGAAGCCACCGCAGCCGCAGCCATCGCCGCCGCAGCAGCAGCAGTAGAAACGCCCACAGACTCCGGCCCCCGAAACTATGCCTCCCTCATCCCCCCCGCGCCCGGCGTAACCCCCCGTCCGGAGCCGAACCTCGCCGAGATGGGATACTACCAGACGACGTACTACTCCTGCGCGACGCAAGGCACCTCGACTCACTGCGGCTGGCACAGGCCCATCATGGTCGCGCCCGCGAACAACGCTGCCGCCGACATCGCCGTCATGGACCGCAAAGCCGGCATCGGTGCGTTGGTCGTCGCCTTCGTTGTCGGTGTCTTCGTGGCTAGATGAGCCGATCGAGAAACGGTAGATGTGGTCCACCCCAAAGGTCGATCTATCTCTACCCCGGGAGACATTCACCTATACGCTGAAGCCGGCCGGCTATCGGCAAGGCTCTCGGGGACCGGTAGCGTCCTGTTCCCACCCCCTGAACCTCCTCGGAGAAAATCCGACTAGCGCGCCTCACGGGGGCTAAGACTTGCACGATACAAGCGGCAGGAACCGTGGCTGAGGCGCCAGACAGATGTCGGGCGGAGATGCCAACGATGGTAGTAGCCTCGTGCGGCTGGACACAATGTCAAAGCGGGTGGGGGAGGAGATGAGTGAGCGAAAAAGCTTAGCCTCCCTCCCTTTGGGCCCCCCTGACAAATGATGATAATGAATGATAAATATGACCGATTCGCCCAGCTGGCTGGGCTAGTATGAACCGAATAGACAGTCCACATGCCTCACGGTAATGGCACACAAATGCCGAGGGAGACCTGCTTCACGGGAAAGATGGAATGGACGAGGATGGGAACCGCAGACGGGCATTTTTGGACAGTTTCTTGTACATCATTTGAATACAGCTTATGAAGATAAGGGAACACAAAAATAAAAAAGGGAAGAGAGAAAGAACACTCACTACCTGCCTGTTAGGCCCCGCCCCAAAAAAATCCCCACGTTCTTTTCTTTCACCTTCTAAAGCTCGGGTATTTCAGAACAACATTGGAACAGAGAAACCAGAGAAACGAAAATGTTGGAAGGGGGCGACAGAAGAGAATAAGCCAGCAGCCCGAGGGGGGAAGAGAAAAACGTATGATGATATGTTGGAAAAGCCGCCCCTTTCTCCCTTCTTTTTGGCTCTTTCTCCTATTTCCCCCTTTCTCTCCGTCTTTTTCTCCATATCAGCGTAGTTAAAAAACGTTACATCAAGAGGTTTGGTTTGGTAAAAGAAGTAGAACAAGAGGTCTCCGCGTGGTTGATGGAAATCCGTTGCTGCTGAGAAATGGATTATGAGGGATGAGTCGCTCTGTTTTTCGAGGTAGGTCCCTGGCAGCGCGTCCTTGCGGAGACATCTTTTCCTGCATCCATTACCCGGGCCGCGGTGGGTGCTTGGACGTTTGTTAGGATCTAGAACGTCCCCGCCGTCGAACTCGGTCCGGGATCGTTGGATGCCTCAATACGCGTTCTTGCGATGGGAACACAGATCGGGAAAGGCGAGATGGGGTAGACAGGCGATGGGCTTGGTGGAGTTATCGGTGAGTCGGTGAATCATGAAAGAGTCGGATTGGTGGTCGAGAAAGGCGTTTGCCGCTCGTCTCGTCGTCTACTTCTTGGCTGGGGCAGGTGGTGCCTTGACGTTGTTGGACAGCCAAGCCAGGCCCTCGAGTAGGCCCTCGCCCGTCGTCGCGCAACTGGGCACAACGTACCAGACCTTGTCTTTCAGTTTTGATAGGTTCAGGGCCTCGGTGACTTCTTGCGGCTTCATGGCTGTGTTTGCAGTCACGCATGGTCAGCCTTCCAAACGTGTCCTGATGAAAAGGGCCAACGGGGCAAAACCCGAGCCGTTGGGCAGTACGGCCACCTGCTGGAATCGAGGGTGCGATTTGTGTAGACTTACCTCCGTTGACATCCTGCTTGTTGGCAAAGACCAGCAGCAAGCTGTCCTTCATTTCGCGGTCGTTGATGATTCTGTGCAATTCCGACTTGGCCTCCTCGATTCTCGCGCGATCCGACGAGTCAATGACGAAAATAAGACCCTGGGTTCCTGTGCGAGGGTAATGGTATCGTCAGCACAACTGAATCACATCAAGAACAGACTACCCTTGGAGGGTGGAGGGGCATGACGGAGGAGAGGAGAGGATAGGGCAGGAAGAACTCACCGCTAAAGTAATGTCTCCAGAGGGGACGGATCTTGTCCTGACCACCGACGTCCCAGACGTTGAACTTGACGTTCTTGTAGGTGACGGTCTCGACGTTGAAGCCGACGGTGGGAATGGTGGTGACGTCCTGGCCGAGCTTGAGCTTGTAGAGAATGGTGGTCTTGCCGGCGGCGTCGAGACCCAGCATCAGCAGGCGCATCTCCTTTGATCCGAAGATCTTGCCCATCATCTTTGAGAGTTGACCACCCATTGTGACTGCCGGGGGATCGTTATCGTGGGTATCGTGGCAGTAGGGGGCGAGTCGGTCGGTCGACGTTCTTGTCGTGGGTGGGAGGGGTGGCTGGCGGTGGTACGGTGTCGGGCTTTAAGGGGACGTCGTCGCAAGGTATGATGGATCGTTGACTCTGGATTTCTTCGTGTCCCCAAACTTCGGGAACAACGAGCGGGATTGACGGTTCGGAGGGTGTCGCGCGCAATTGAATCCCGAGACGCAGCGGTCGTCGGTGGTGGGAGAGGGTTCCGGGGTTGGGCGAAGGAGAGTTGCGGAAGAGAAGGAGTGTGTGGTGAATGGCAGAAGCTATCACAAAAAAAAACGAGCAACTTTGCGACTTGCTGGAGTAAGGTACCTTGGGCAGTGGTGGTACTAGTTGTTGGTGCAGGCGCTGTGCGGCGTACCTGACTACCTGGTCGGGGATCGGAGGTTGGGGGTCGAATGGAGTTGGGCACTTTCCACTTTCCACTTTGTAGCGACCGGGCAGCCTTTCGTTCGCTCGGGCGTTGCGTGGGACGTTGGAGTACACCACACCGTACAGGTACCGAGACGTGTGTGTGTGTGTGTGTGTGTGAGTGAACACTGAAGGATGGCTGGGAGACAGATGCAGAAGCAGGGAGGGAGCAACGACGCCAAGACGGTATCGAAACGGGCCAATGGACAGCTATATTTGGGCTATGATTAATGCTAGCCGTCATCCGAAACGAAGTGAGTGCGCTCACTCATGTAAGGAAACGTACAAAGTAAGGTCAGGTACCTTCTTGTCAGATACTTTAGTACAGATACTTTAAACCATCCGTGCTTCAATGGGTACGGGAATACCTGCAACCTGCCATGCTACAGAATATTGGCTGCTGACTCCAGATATGAGGCATGAGCGTACGTACAGCCTGCCTCCTTTCCGAATTATCTGACAGAGGCCAGACTAGACTAGCAAAGAGCCGCCTTGGGCTGTTGTCCGGAATACCTACGACATGGGCAATGGCAATGGGCATATGCGGCTCGGCTTCTCATGCGTTTCAACCGTTTGCCCACCAGCTGGTTGGCGGTGACTGGTCAGGCGGGCAGAACCACAGACCGAACCACAGACCATCAAACACTCCTCACCTCACCGTCTACTAAGTATGGAGCCATGCCACTCACCATGGGTAGTTACATCAGCAATTCAACACTTGAAAGTTGCCTCGGGTCCGTAACTTGAACCCTCTCTGAAGCGAAGCGGGGGACCCGATTGAAGCGAGAGGGGCCGCATCTGTACGAAGTCATCCGTATGGATGTAAGGATATTCGCAATCACGTTTAGATGGAAATATTGAATCTCGAGCAATGCAGCGCTCGCTCTGGGGCGCATGCACATTGCACATGACATGACAACTCCATCCAGCAACTCTCTCAACCGTGATCCATTCAGTCATCATCATCAACAACAACAAACGCAGACTCCATCACCCCATGCCTTTTCCAAAGATTTTTATTGTGGAACATGACAGCCTCTATCTCTTTCCCTCTCTTCCTCTCTCTCTCTCTCTCTCTCTCTCTCTCTCCCTCTTTGAGTCTCTGCGTCTCCCTCCATGGACATTGCCCCCCCTGGTCTATCCATCTTAGGCAAGGTACGAATAAAAAAGTACACCAATTCTCGGAGATTCAAACGCAGGTACGTACCCGCTCCCGCTCCCACACCAGAACATCTCCAGTCCAAACGGAGACATGCAAGCCGCTCCGGAGCCAATCAGCCTGCTCGTGTACCTTTTTTCGAGGTGGATCCCAAACAGCAAGGGCCCCAAGGGGTCTTCTTTCCCCCCTGTGCCCTTCAGGTTGCCTCTCTCTCCTCTCTTTCCTTGTCATCTCTGATTGTTCGACTTGCGATCTGGTTCCTCTCTGCAAGACGGACCAATCCATACCTATCTCAATCGTCCTTGACCACGGAATCTGATATCTTTCCATCCCTCCATGACACGATGAGACTACCTTACCTTCATGCCCCGTTATCGTGGCTGTCGCTCTACCTACCTAGCCAATAGGCGTATTTAGCGACCTGCAGGTACGGATACATACACCACCACCTCACTCCATATCTACCATGGCCAAGTCACGGCATTCGAATAAAATATCTATGCACGTGCCATGCCGGAGTCAGGGGGCGAAATTTGACATTCTGAAGCCAACCTCTGAAGGCTCTGATAGTTTGATTGCAGCGTCTCCTGCCTCGCATATCGGTGCATGTACACATCCGAGTCGCATATCACGAGTGACAGACTCAAAAGCCACCAAACAAGAGATGACTCGTCTGTATCTTACGTAATACACTCGGAACGGCACAGAGACGCAAAGCATGCAAACGTTGATAGTCATTTCTATCCGTACTACTAATACTGCCAGCCTGTCACACTGGTACGGATACCCGCTAGCTGCTACCCCTGCCTTGGATGCATAGTAAGCATGTTAAGTTCCGTTTCGACCCGCCATGTCATGTCCCCTTTTGTTTGTTTAATGAGACCTGGCGATAGACACACCAGATATCCCATGTCCGGGCCGTTGATCTCTCGGCCAATACACACTCTCTCAACTCAATACTTTAAGCGAACGCCCGCTCATGGCTCTCGCTAAAACTTCGCTAACGTCATGCACTTCCCAACTTGAGCGTTTGGCCCTCTCCTTCTCCGCATCACCAGATCTGGATCATCTGGTGCATCTGCATCTCGGGGACCTTGTCCTCTTGGGTTCAGGGCCGGTACTCCAGCACGTAGCGCCGCTCCACCTGATGCGTAGTCGATGAGTCGTTTTCGCCATGAAACTTGAGGTTGACCGTCTTGCCGTCCGGCTCCGTGCCGACAACGTCTGCTGCGTAAAATGCCGTTGTCTGCGGGTAGAGCCCGAGGACCATCCTGCCCGCCTCCAGCTTAGCGAGATTGTGTGTCTGGTTCTCCGCCGGGATCGGTATCATGCCCGACGCAAAGGTCTTGTACTCCTTCGGCTTGACGTTGTCCTCCGGCTCCACATCCAAGCACTTGTACCGCCGGCTCTTGCCTTCGCCAATGACGCCGACCACCTCACCTAGTATCCAATCATATGGTGCTTCACCCTGCTGCGGCTCATCTTTCTTCCGCTTGAACGCTACCTTGTCTCCTTTGGAGAACGATATCTTGCTTCGAGCTGCAGAGGAAGCGCTTGACCCCAAGGCACCTGACGATGAACCTGCCGTGTTGGAGCCCGTGGAACCCTGTGGCTCGACGCTATCTGCCTTGGGAGGCATACTGTCGCGGTTGCTACCCCGGTCGCCGTACTTGCGCGAGCTTCCGCCGATGGGGCTAGGCACCGGAGAGTCACCGGCTCCGTCAAAGTCGTAGAGTGCTGCCGCGGCGGCGTCCCGATTGCGGGTCGAGCTGCCGGTCCGTGATGAAGCGCCGGTTGTCGCCGGAGCCTCTGCTGCTTCCTTGGCCTGCTGCACAGCCTTGAGAATTTTAAGCTGTTCAATGAGGTTCTTGATGTTGTTCGAGTTGTTCTCCGACAGCTTGACACCGGAACGGCAGTTCTGCTCCATCTTGTTAAGATCGCTGCCTGATGGGTTTCCACCGTCCATGCTGGCCATTGCTGCCTTCTTGTCAAGCTTCAATAGCTCGGCCAAGTTGTCATTTTCTTGGTTGACACCGTTCACAACCTCGTGGAACTTTTCCTTTGCAGATTCCCATAGCTGCACCTCTTCGCCATGGCCGCTGCCATTGTTGCGGTTTGAGCCGCGGCCGCTTCGGTTTCGCTGAGACATCTTGGCTTGCAAAGACTCCAAAGGGCTGGGCTGGACCTTGGGCGAGTCGCGCTTCTTCTAGGTGGACTCGTCGCGGGCAGCCGAGGCAGAAGATGTGCTCGTAGGTATGCTCGAGGTTGAGCTCCCAGGCTTCGGTTCGGTAGTGGTAGGCTTCTCAGTTTGACCACTGCGAGGCGGCTGCTCAGTTTTGGTCTTCCGTTTCTGCGTCATATTGATATCAGTCCTGGGTTGAGCTGATGATGGGAATGAATAAGTCGGGTGTAGAGATGATGAGGTGGAAGAGGAAGAGTATAGAAATGCGGGAGGGGAGAGTTGAGATAACCAGGTTTAGGCAAGGTAGCTAGATGCAAGCAGGGAAGGCGAGCATGAAGGCACTTACAGGGAAAGCGCAACGTTCACTTGGTTGTTGCTCCGCCAGCTGTCGCAGGCAGGTTGGGGGTCACGTTCAGTTCCAAAGCTAAGGTAGGTAGAGCTTGCCTTGAGCTCTTTCTCTCTGGTGTCGCTGGGGTATCTAGGCGCAAAGACGCTATTTAAGGAAACAAGAAAAGAAATCGACCAAGAAAACTTAGCCCATGACGCGACCAAAAAGAGAAAAGGCAATGATTTAAGCTTTTGAATTGGCCAGGTCTCTGAATGCCATGGCAATCAAGGTGTTTGGAGATGGGGGATGGATCATGGAGATGCTGATGGCAGAATGCGGGCGGTATCGGGTGACGCGCAGGAAAGCGGAGTGCTGAGAGCTTCATTGGCTCACTAACGCGACTACTCCAATGTGCCGCTGCGATCCGCCGCGGTAGTGTATAAAACCGAAGTGGGTCAACTGATAAGATACCTCGTACTTTCGGCCAACCACACAGCCAATCAAGACGGGATTCCTCAAATGGCCCTCCGCCATGCGGCCCGACCACTTGCCCGGGGCCCGTGCTCCGACCTCACGGGATGATCGTTTGGAGGGGTCCGGAGGTATTGGCTCCATTCTGCGGGGTCCCCCAAGTGAAGCTCTCCCTGACGTCAAATCTAATGGTGGGGTGAGCATACGCACTCCCAACTTTATTAGTACGACATTGTCGTCGCATCTTTCCTCTCCCTTGGAACCTTTGTTCATCGTCTTCTTTCAATTGCCTTGAGCTGATCTGGCTCCATCACCTCAGTCGCAATGGTCCTACAGGTCCCTCTGTTCAAGCTTCAATGCGGAGTGAACTCCTATGAATGGGGAAAGAAGGGAGGGGACTCAGCAGCTGCGCGCTTTGCGGCGACAACGCCAGCTGAGGGTTTCAGCATTGAGTCAGAGAAGCCTTACGCAGAGGTGAGCTTAACCTTGTTTCTGTATTATCCCCAAGAATCGCATTGCTAATTGGTATTTGCAGCTCTGGATGGGCACTCATCCCTCAAACCCCTCAAAAGACCTGCAGTCTGGTCGCACGCTCCTCGAGCTCGTTCAAGACAACCAGCAACTTCTCTCCGCGCCCATTTCCTCCAAATACGGCTCAAAGCTTCCCTTCCTCTTCAAAGTCCTCTCCATCAACAAGGCCCTCTCGATACAGGCCCACCCCAACAAGAAGCTCGCCGAACAGCTACACGCTCGCGACCCCAAGAACTACCCCGATGACAACCACAAACCCGAGATGGCTATCGCCATTACCCCATTCGAGGGTCTCTGTGGGTTCCGACCCCTTTCCGAGATCTCACACTTCCTCGCTACGGTTCCTCCCTTGAAGAGCCTGGTCGTCGAAGACAAGGCCGACGAATTCATCAATACAGTCAAGGGAGAGGAGGAGACCGAGAACCCCGAGACCAAGGACCGGAATAAGAAGGCTCTGCAGCATGCCTTTGCCGCTCTTTTGTCTGCCACACCCGAAGAGATTGAGAAGCAGACCGCGAAGCTTGTCGAACTCGCCAAGTCAGAAGGCAGCAATTTCGCCGGCGGCGGCGTAGCCACGACAGACGGCGAGACCCTCTCGGAGCTGATCCTCCGTAACCACGCCGAATTCGGCGCAGACATTGGTCTCTTCGTCCTCTTCTTCCTAAACTACGTCAAGATGGAGCCCGGTGAGGCCATGTTCCTCGTCGCCGACGACATCCACGCCTACCTCTCCGGCGACATCATCGAGTGCATGGCCGCCTCAGACAACGTCGTCCGCGCCGGCTTCACCCCCAAGTTCAAGGACGTGTCCACCCTCGTTGACATGCTCACCTACAACTACGCGCCCATTGACGAGCAAAAGATGTCTCCGTCCGAGTACCCTTACGCCACCCTCAATCGCGCCGCCTACAGCTCTGGCTCTGCCGTCATCTTGTACGACCCGCCCATTGAGGAGTTCAGCGTCGTCCGGTCGCTGCTGAACGGCGACGGCTCAAAGGTCACCTTCGAGCCTATTGAGGGTCCCAGCATCATCATCTGTACTTCTGGCAAGGGCACCATTTCCGTTGGTCCGACGGTGCAGAAGATTAGCGAGGGTAACGTCTTCTTTGTCGGATCGACGGCAGAGTTGGTGTTGCAGTCCGAGGGCGACGACGATGACGAGTTTGTCACGTTCAAGGCGTTTTGTGAGATTGAAGAGAAGCCGGAGGAAAAGCTGTAAAGAAAGGGATTTTTACAGATGTGCCAGCGCACACACTATCCATGTTGCCCCCTGTGTTTGAGACGATGGGAGCAAGTTGTTCATACCCAATATCCATATGAGAAGACCACGAAGAAAAGCATCCTAAGAGAGGTTATTTGACTTTTACTTGATTCCTGCCCATCGTACAACGCATCAGTCCGATCCTGGTCTAGACTATTTGTCGCCAACGCCGGTTCAGATTAAATGCTTCTTAGCCTCAATGACTCTTCTCTATCTCTCGTAAGATAGCCCATGCCACAGGACCCTCAGCGTATTGCACTGAGGACACTCACGCGCTGGATATGGGGGCTTCACGAGCAGGGCACACAAATGGATGCGTTCATGTGATTTATCTGGGGATTTTTTGAGGGACTGGATCGTCCGATTCGATTAATAATACTGACCCCTGCCTATGATAGTGACAGGGAACTACAAAGGAATAAGCCTTGGGTCGAGAGCGACGAACAAGACTTCGGCCATCCCAACGCCCCAAGATGTCATCCGGCAGCATGAAAAGAGCAAGAAATGACTAAACAACGACCCCTAATCATCCTCAATTTTTTGATGAAACACCATGCCCTAAAGCTCCCTGACCCCATATCCCTCGGTTCCCGTTCTCCAGGTATCAATGCTTCTTAGTTCATCCTTCCATTCTTTTTTTTTTTTTATCCCCGTTCTCATGAGATTACTGTCATAAGGCCCCGCGCCCCCCGAGATGATTCTAAACATCCATCCCTTTCATTATCCGAATGCTTCCCTTCATCACCAAGGCGTTACACTGTTTGATTTGATAACAGTATCAAATCGCTCGCAAATGAGGGAAAAAAGAAACCTGGAAATATGCAGACTGGTACGACATTACCCAACGTAGACCACGCGAGAGCGATGAGGTAGAAAAGACCATGAAAATTGAGGAAGTGACTGGGGGAAAAGGTAATGAATGATGGATGTGTGAAAGTAGAGAGAGAATGATGACCTGCGTGTAGGGACGCAGTGTAGGATCGAGAACCAAGAACATAGACAACCCAAAGAGACCATAGACCTTGCTCCCCTCTCGGAACTTGAATCCCTCGCCAATGACCCGAGCCGTACCGGAAACGAGATGCGGTGCCATTGAACGAGAGGAAGGCGAGAAGGCACTTCATCCTCTCCGGGAACACGAAATGAGGGGCCAAAGAGGGGAGGGGGCTCATAACTCCGGTCGAGAGGTATTGATCCAATATTGGGGAAATCTGACTTCGAACCTGCGAGGCGGGAAATGGAGGGATGAAACGGGACGGGACTGGACGGGTGTCAGGGGCGGGCGTCCCGGGTTCGGGTAGCCGCATATGCCGCCGGGATCTCGAGGTGAGATCCTATTCGGCTTCTTGCCTCCCCCTCTTGTTCTCAATGACAGCCACCACGCCACACCGAAAGACACGAACGGAGTGTGTCCTGAGATGTCATTGATGGATGCAAGGCCACATTGGGTAGTCTTTTCCAACGGCTTTAGTCCCGGAGGGGTATGGGACCTCTCTAGATTCTCTTGGCCTCCGGTAACGGTATGTACGTTGGCGGCGTAGACGTCGTCATTGTCGTTGGGTACCGTCGATGATAAAGGCAAGCAAGGCTGAGCCACACAAATGCAGCAGACCACACCCTCTTCACCGGGGAAGAAAGGAACCCCCAATTCCGGTTCCTGGACTTGCGTACAAAAGGGCAAGCCACGTCTTGCTTCCTGCTGGAGAAGAATGGGGAGCGGACGATGTACCACCCCTGCCTGACAACGAAAGCTTCTCCCCCTGTAATGGCGTCTTCTGTTTCGAGGACGTACGAGAGGGGAAATAAGGCTGTGGTGTACTCTGCTTCGACAGCATACGAACAGAAGGCGGTTTTGTTTTCTCAATGACAATCTGCACCTCCCATTCATCGTTGGAGTATGCATATGTTTCGTGTTGATGAAAAGGCGTGCAGGAACCCAGCAAGTGGAGAGTGCGCCACGGCTTACGCTGCAGGTTCTCTCACATCCCAGAATAGCATCTGGGAATATGAAAGCCGTTTCTGGAGAACTCGGTGACGTACGTTTATTCCCCTTTCATACCCTGTGCTCGTATTCCGCTTTCACCGAGTTGGGATTCCCTCTCTCACCGGTGACTGTCATAGGATTTGTCCTCATTTGGCGAGAATGAGCGTCGGCAGCGACGTAATTATTGAAATCGAAAAGTGCAATAAAAGGAGTGGACGAATTAAACAAAAATGATTGCGAAAAGAATGTTGCAGCAAGCAGTAACTGCCACGGCGGAAAAGGGGGCCCCCGATTCCTTTGCTGGCACCACCAATGAGTGAGCATCAAGCGCCCCAGCCGGCCGGCCGGAGCGCAAGGTTTCATCCTAGGAAGCGGACAAGCCACCCGCAGACCTACGACCCGAGTGGTGATGGTGACTGCTGTGGTGGTGGCTATGACCGTGACCATGGTGATGATCGTGATGGTGCTGGTGATGGTGCTGCTCGGCCGCGACTTCCTCGGAGAGCATGTACTGCCCGATATGATGCCGTCCATGGTGACCCACGGAGGCGTACATGCCCGGCGACGGTGTGGTTACGGTATACTGCTGCCCGTTGGAAAGCGAGCCGCCTCCACCTACGGGCGTAGTGGACGACGAAGAGGAAGTGGAACTCGTGGTCTCGCCGCTTCCGCGACGGCCGCTGCCGTCTCTGCTTACCCCCGACGGCGCGGTGGAAGAATCAGTGTACTTGTAGCTCAAGTCGGAATCAGACGCTGATCGAAGACTCGTTTCCGAGGCGCTGAAGATGGGTTCGCTGCCACCGCTCGTGGTCGTGGAGGGCGGGTATCCCGCCATCTCAGCGTTGGAAATACGCTGCTGCTGATGCGCCATAGACGGAACGGTGTGCGACGGCGGAGGGTACGCAGACACGGGCGACGTCTCGAAGCTTCCTGAGCCGCTGGGGCCCGAAGTAGTGTAGCTGGTCGTCACGTCTGAGATTGGGGAGGGCTGGGACGTCGGGCTACCTGAGGACTTTGTCGACGTCGATGCCGTAGAGGATGTAGCAGCAGCGGCGCCTTCTGTACGGTAGGCTAGGACGTTTACGTTGGCGACGGGCTGACGCGTAGCCGGGTCGGGGAGTCGACGGTCGCCACCGGCGGGAGGCAAAGAAGCGGCGACGCCAGTGAAGGAGAAATTCTGGCCCTCGCTCTGTTGCACCGCTGCTGCTGCTGCTGCCGCCGCTGTCACGTTTGCAGCGGGACGGTGAGGAAGCTGCGTTACGGTGCCGGCGTTGCTGCCGTAGGCGTATCCCGCCGCCGCTACGGCGTCCGCCGTGTTGACGTACAAGTCACCCGCACTCGGTGTCGCTGCGGTGACCTTTGCGGTAGGGTTTACGCGGTAGTAGTAGCTCGTGTCTGAGGGCTGCTGGTAAGAGTACGGGTATCCCATGGAGGCCACCGCGGCGGGGCTGTAGTCCACGGCGTCGTCTGAGTAGCCCGGCGTGGCAGACCAACTCGGCATGGTCGCGGGCGAGGCGTAGTACTTTCCGCCGTAGTAGCTGGCTGATGTTGAAGAGTAGCGGGGGAGGCCGTCGTGGATGTCGGAGGTGTAGTGGTGAGGCGGGGACGAGTTCAGGGGCGAGGCCATGGCGGTGTGGGCGTATGCTCGAGCAGCTTTGAGATCGTATGTGAATGTTTGATCCGTAGATACCCAGGGAGCTTCTGTTGAGGCGACCTTTGGGAACCTGTGTTAGTCCGGGACTCCAAGAGGGCAGGCAGCATCGAGGCCCCCATGGACATTGTTCAACTTACTCGTAAGAACATGCAGGACTCGGCGCCGGCGGCCTTGCAGTTCTGGCATGGGAGTCCATTGCCCGTATCTCCGCTGCAGCGAATCTTGCGCTTCCGGCAACGGCCACACTGTAAATCTTGTCAGATCTTACTTTTTTCCCCTTTCCCCATCTTTATTACATCAAACAACGGGTATGCAAGTTCCCTTAACTCCTACGGCTTCCAGCATTCAAGTTCAACCTTTCGAGAATGGGCTCGTTTTTGATATAGAAACCCACGTGAAAGAAAAGAGACAAACAAGAGTTGTAAAGCATATCCAAGCTAATGGGAAAGGAGTGGAATGACAAAGGAGGAGGAAAGGAACTTACAGCAACGGCAATGCGCTTGCGGGGAGGTGTATCCGTGTCAGTCTCTCGTTCCGTCATGTTAGATGTCCGCGCTTCAGAAGAATGCGAGTGATGTCGTTGCTGCCGTTCCGGATAGACGTATGTCGGGTCGACGCGGCTATATCGTCTTCCGTCTGGGTAGTATGCCGGGTTGACCATCGTTGTTGTATTAGCACAAAAAATTACTTCGTTCTCGAATAATCTTGGCCCAAAATCAAGGCCTAAGACGTAGCGAGGAGGCAAGGTAGTGTAATAAACGATGACGATGAGGTGGGTGGTGGGCTTCGATCGTGTAGCAATGTCTGGTAGTGTGGGCAAGAATTGGCGCGCTTGTCACAGGAAGCGAGGGGCTGGACTGGGCTTTTTTGGTTTGTTTCTTGTTTCGGTGTGTGTGGTCAGTCTTTTATTTGGAGAGATGTGGGATTGGAGAGATGCTGTGCTTCGCGTTCGTCGATGAGGGGGGTGATAAGCCTCTTTTTTTGTCGATGCTGCTGATGCTGATGCCGGTGCTGTCGTGACCAGGCGTCAAGGTCCTTGTCTCGTTTCAGAGAAGGATGGGGGACGTTGTGCTTTGCTTTTTCCTTCCCTTCTTCAGCAAGTCTGATTTTCGTCGAGACTGACTGGGATGGGACGTGGGTGATAGGTGAAGGAAGCGGAGGTAGAGGCAAAGGAAGAAGAGGAGGAGAAAGGAAGAAATAAGAGGTAAGTTGCTGGATGGGGGTAGATCTTGTTCTTGTTTTCTCCCCACGCCTCCTTGTAAGACGTTGCTCCTTTTTGAGGAAAGAGGAAAGTGTTGAGACAAGTCCGTTGATGGAATACCTTTCCCAGGTGTAGAGATCTAGCAGGGCGAAAAAAGGTTCGAAACTTAGTCAATGTTCCACATGGAAGTCCGGAAAAAACAAAATAAGTCAACAAGAGGAGGCAATGACATGAGCCAGGCCAGCTTATGAGGGAAGATGGGGAGAAAAGATTGATAAAAACCCCCCGGATTAAAAAAGAAAAGATAAATAAAATAACACAGACGAGAAAACAGGCGTGAAGCAGCTGCAGCCGGCGAGTGTTATACGCATCCTAGTCTTGGAGAACGCATCTTTTGATTCGGCAACGCAAGACAGATAGGTAGCTTGGTTGTTCCTGTGTTTGCACCGTGCCTTCAAACGTATCCACCCCCTCTTCCTGTCTGTCCAGAATACATTCATCAAAGAGACATTTTCCACATCTTGAAGATTCTCTTCACACGAGTTGATTTCCCATGGACATGAAAATCAGGTCATTTTCCATACACGCCCCCCCTCTCACCTCTCTCTCCTTCTACATTGGCGCGTATACCTTTCCCCCCTCTTCTCGTTGCCCCCCATGGAAGCTTGCGGACCACACGGACACGACATCTGTCATCGGACGAGCGAGGGAAGACAAGGCTGCTACAGCATGTTTTTTGGGGGGTCTCTCGAACTAGACCGAAGCAACAGAGAAGCAGATGTAGTGTAGATTTGCCTACATAAACAGATGAGAAAAAAAAGAAGAGACTCATGTGGTGCTGCAGTAGCACCGACGGCGCGGGAAGCCACAGAAAGACGTACATTGGAACGGGGGAGAAGGAGACCTCACTTCGGCTCTGGTAGTTCAGTGACAAACAAGCATGGCCTACTAGGGTGGGTGGGGGAATGGGGAGTACCTAGGAGGTAAAGAGAGAAAAAGAGAGAGCCTCTACATACAATCAACACCCCTCCACTCCTGTCTCCAGTTCTTCTTCCATAATGCAGATTTGGGGGGAGGGTGTTACTTTGGGGCTGGAGGGACGGAACGTGGAGAGCAAACGGAAGAGGGGCGGCGACGGCGGAGAGGTAGGAGTACGAGGGGCGGACAGGTTGATTGAGCAGGGGGGGCCCCTAGTCCTGCGTTGGAAGATCTTGTAGGGCCAGCCGGGAGGGAAGGTCGATCTCATCTTGGGTGTATCTTGGAAATCTTAATGAGGAGAAAAAAGGGTCTGGGGTTCTCGGGGGCTAGGCCAAGCTGGACCCGAAGAACCTCGTCCCATTTGCAGCACAGCTCATTGGCAACTTGAGAGAAGAGGAAATGACAGTGTGAGAAGAACGGTCTTAGACCTTTTGAGACTGCATTGGCTTTCTCAGCCGTAGAAGATGACTTGGAAACCCCTGCACATCCAATCAGACTGGCGCTTGATATTCGTCTTGCTGGGAGAAGCGAGTCTGTTGTTCCTGTATTATCGCCACCATTTCGTATGGAGAGTCCCTATTCTGGGCTTGCCGCTGGGGATCGAGACAATAATTTCAGAGGTGATGGGGATGAGGCAAGTGTCCCAACACACGTGAGAACACTCAATTCCTCAACGTACCCCCCTCGCGCGTAATTTCCATTGCTGAAGAAAACTGCCGAGTTATCGTGTGGTAACCGAGACTTGTATAAACGCTCGGTTCAAGTGCGTCCAACGGAGTAGATGATATGTATTGGACGGATGATCACCCACGGTGACGAGGTACATGTATCATGGGAACAACAGCCAGGCTGTTCGTTTCCCCACAACAACCGCTCTATCTTCCAAAGATTCAAGACTTCACCAGTCGTCAACAGAAAAAAGAGTGGAATACGGGAAAGGGGAGCACAGAAGAATAGAAGTAATGTTTGTTTTGAGAACTAAAATTTCTGAAATGGGAATGGCGTCTTTTCCCAAAAATGACACCGAAGAAACCGACACGACAAACACTTGTTTTGCTCGACCATCGTCGGGCAAAACGGCCGTCTCGGTCCCACTTGGAGGGTGCAAACCATGAACGCTGGATCGTGTGACCCTATCACGATAACTAATGGATGGAAAAGAGCAGAGCTATCATCAGCGAGAGATTGGGTTGTATCAGGGCAAGTCACACTTTTCCCCCGGTTCATGTACAAAAGTGATAGGAAGAGAGCGAGAGACAAAAAATGCACAGAGCTGAAGGTTACGTGACGCAAGCCATCGACAGTGAATACGCTTGTGGTGGGTGTCGCTGTCCCCCTGTGTCACATTGCGGAAGCGGCCTTTGCTGCAACACACACACACACACACACAATTCAGGATGATAGAACCGAGAAAGCCAAATACAGAAAAGACAGAGAATTGGCCGCAAATCTCTCCAGCCAGAGACCAACAGCGACGTCAACCCCCGTGACGAGCCACCAAGCAGTACTGGGCCTACTGGGCTACTACCACTTGGCGCCCGGTCAAAGTGTGACACCGCCAACTCGCTGAAGAAGAAGAAGAAATAATATTCAAGGGATGGAGCTAAGAAAGACTCAAAGACCGACACAAGAAGAAGAAAAAGCAAGAAAAGCAGGAAAATCAACGGTGCTGCTGCTGCTGCTGCTGCTGCATGCTTCATGCTGCATGGTGCGTGCAGCGGTTTCGTTCGCCAAACATCTCCCTGACCGGCCGAGAGAGAAAATCCTGTAAGAAATGAGCATCTTGGAGAAATGGACTCATGGACCATGGATCAATGCTGCAAAGCCCGTCATCTGCATACATCATTTACAAGCAACAAACTTGAGCCATCATTTGCCAGCCCGGTACCGGGAGGTTCCGCGAAGAATTTCTATCAGGCAAACCGACATCTCAGCTGGCGCAGAGATACGGCCGGAGGAGGATTCACAAGAGATGCCCCCTTCCAAAATAGCTGGCGACGGTCACGGTGTTTTCCTTGCTTCCATTGCAAAGTACTCTTACATGGGCAAACGAGATGCATGAATATGGCCGCCAAAGACGGCCGTCCAAGGCCGCCTCGATAGGCCCAGGAGGGGCGAAGGGGGCGCACACCTGGCTCCGAATTGGGATGGAGGAGCTGCCAAACAAGACCCTCTGTTGCTGTTGCGCCGTTGTACGGAGTAGCTCTGGGAATTTCTTGAGCCAGGTTCGGTGTGCAGCAGCAGCAGCAGTCCCCCCTTCCCCAAGCCTCGCACTCTTCCTCGTGGCAGATGAGGTGTCTTCCTGCACGTTTCTCGACCCCTCGCCCTTCGCTTGTGCTGCAGCTTGATCGTCCGCGACTTGGCGACCGTGATTTGGCTGCCCCTCTCTCGCCCTCCCCCTCCACAACGTTGCAGTTCCGGCCGCGGCCGCGCCTCTGCTTTTGGATAAAGATAGCGGGAAGAGCTTCGATACACGGCATGCGAGGGGGGGTTGGAGGGAAACAAGGAAGGGACAGAAATAGCAAACGGGCCGCTGAGGCACAGAATGATTGTGAGATGTGCGCGTGTATGCGTAGTAATGTGTCGGTGTGTGGTTCTCCTTCTCCGTCCCGCACCTGCTTTGCCGTTGTTGCTTCGCCCGTGGGCGGCCAGCTGGTGATGCATGCCCGTTGACGTGAATCCTGTACGAATAGCTAGGCATGTATGCCATGTCTCTGCCTTCTCTTGACGCGATGCACTCTCCTCCGCCTGCTTGCCGCGAAAGGCCCCCGCATCGGACGACGGTCGGTACCTCAAAGTTGACGGTGTTGGCGATGAATGGTTTAAGGAAGAGGCTGCAATACTACGTCGCCCGATATCCCCGTGCATTTGAATCAGGGGTAGATGTCCAGCTGCAGGAGTTTAAGTAACTAAGACTAACCCGGCGCGGCGTCGTCGTTTCCAATGGCCCTTTTAGCAATAGCAACCAGGAGAAAAGGATTCTGTCATGGATGCAAAGGCCATGCTCGAAGCCGACGGATCCTATTCCCCATCGTGATCCTAACGTCCGTAATGATGCGTTTCTCAGGGGTGATTTTCGATCCGTGTCAGAAGCTTCTTTTCCTTCTTGCCGTTGAATTTTGACATGCTGGTGGGACTGGAATCGTGAAGCACATAGTTGTCGCCGCAGCGCAGTCTTGTCCTGCCATCAGCTCACGGCGTGCAAGGTCAACGAGGTGCAAAGTCTCAAAACCCAGGCAGTACTCGTGTTTCCGCATGAGCTTATTGCCAAAGAAACCCTCCGTGTTTGAGACATGTCCTCGCCTCGTCGATGACCGTCTGGAAGCGCGCAGGCTTCGCGGGATTACTCTCGTCTCGCTCTGTGAAGAGAAAGACTGCGCCGCAATTCCAAGACAAGAGAAACAAGGTGCCCTCGCTGAAACTCTGAGAGAGCAGTTCGTATCGAGAGTCGACTGAGATGTTGTTGGCAGCGTAGCACAGCGTCAAGACTGATATCATATGCAGCAACAAAAGCCTCGCCCAACAAGGTGAGGCCGTCATGCCGGCGATCAGGCTGTCGTGATGCAGATCCTCTCTTCACCCTTCACCTGTTACCGGGCATTTCTTGTGCGTGCCTGCTTCTGGGACGGGAGGCAGCAAGCAGAACGCACATGGCTCGACGGTTTCGCTGACAACGGAAATTTTTTGCAGCCATCTTCGGGGCGCTGCATCTGTACTTTGGGGGAAGCTGCCAGTCATAGCCAGAACCAGTTTTTTTTTCCCTCTCCCATCCATATGCGGGCAGCCGTTTGCAACAGGGACACAGGAGGTAAGCGATTGGCCCGGCTTCCAGGGACACAAGGTCATCTGACAGCCCATACTAGGGGGCCGGCCACGTCCGGAGCAGATTGATTGAGGTTGTCAGCGATGGAGAGCAGCCACCAGGGCCAGGCACTGAGGGAGGCGAAGGAGGCGCAGGAGAACGAGACGAGACGAGACGAGACGAGCCGGGCTGCCTCCACAATTAACACATTGGCGATGGAGAATATCAGATCCGTTGGTTTGGGCCCTTTCGAGTTTGTCCAAGTGCCATTTCTCGACGTACTGTGCCAACAAAGTTGCCGTTCCGCGGTTTGGCTGCAACGAGATTCTGCATTGGGAAGACAATCGGCCTCCTCCGCCTCAACCTCAGCATCATCGACCGGTCCATTGAGCCCCACGGAGTAGCACAACTGACGAGCTTTGATCTTCATGTCTCGCTCGCACTGAGGCGAAGAAAGACGCGGTCGCACAGGATTGGGGAGTTGATGCCTAGCGGGCCAGAACGGACAGAATTAACTGCAGCAGCTCTGCAGCGAGACTCGACGTGCTGTCACTCTCGTGATCCTGTGCGACATTAGCAACTGATATTACAGGACGCCTTGGAGGGGGAGAACTTACGAGGCCCTACACCAGGAGACCGCATCTATTAGACGCCGCGATGGGGTTGCAGGTGGCAGCGTCAGCGAGAACAAAATGCGAACGATAAAGGAAATCGGTCAGGTTCGGAAGCAACTTTACGAATTACCGCGAACTTAAGTTCATCAGCTCTCGTCCCGAAGGCAACCTCGTTCTAGGATTCTAGATGGTCTTCTTCGTAGAGCTGAGCTCTGAGGGATGCGAGGATGTGATCGGAGATTGTCCTGACAGGTCGAAGACGTTGTCGCACAATGCCGGCCTCGCACGAGGCGGCTGCGGACTTCATTTGAGATGGCGGTCCATGGCCCATGGTCCGTCTCTCAATGCCGCTCCGTTGCAGCTTCTCCCATAGCACAGGAACCACCTTGAAGATATGACAACTGACAGATGACAGCTTCATCAAACGCAGCAGGCTGATGCAAGCTCCCCTCGGCAACACCAAGGATGCGTGTCGGTCCCCACTTCCGCGGTGCTTCCGGCCGCTTACTTGCATGGCCCCCTTGCGAGTGTGGAAAAAAAAGGGCTCTGATAGCCATGTTTGCAACGGCGAGAAACGATGAGACCAATCCTACTTGGGGCAAGCCGTTCGCCATGTGCAACGTCAAGTTGTAAAGTCAAACCCCACGGCCTTTGCTAGGGCAATCTCTCTCCCTTCCCTCGTTCCCCACACCCGGACTTCCCTGGTCGACGACGAGATGCGAAGGGGTGGCTTACAGGCAGGTTGCCGCGGTGCATCTCGACAGGTCAACGAGATATTGTTGTTGTTCATGAAACACGAGCCTTACGCGGGCGGCAGTGGCGATAGTGGTGTCAATTGTTTTTGTATTTCTTGGGGTCTACATCTGTGGCTGACCGGACTGCTGCAAGCTGCGGTCTGGTCAACGGCGGCTGGGTATAGTTTTGAAAGAGCATTGTCGGAGACGAGAAGAAAATGAGATGCGCGTCTTGCAGTTGCTGTTGCTGCTGCTGCTGTTACTATCTTCGTCTGTCCGAGTCTCGATCCCTACCTCGATTCCGATTATCCCAGTCTCTGCGGTCTCTGCGACCCGGATCCCTATCGTCACGTCGCCGTTCGTATTGATCGTGCCGTCGGCCGGAACCGCGATCATCGGATCGGTATCGATCTCCATCTCCTCTTCTGTCCCTATCCATGGCCCTTGAGCGTCCGGGGCTTCGACTGCGTCTCCGCACCTGTTCCGATCTGGGTCGATCTCGTTCCCGTTGATCTCTGTCTTGCTCAGGCTGCTGCTGCTGCTTATCTGATTCGGGACGACGGTCTTTAGCGCGCTGGTGGTGGCGACCCTTCATCTCCTCGTCTCCGTACACCAGATCGTAATCATCTCCATTTCGCTCGTATTCGTCACGGTATTGCCGCCTCTTTTCGAGTTCGTCGACACCTCCGAATCCACCCCTGGATGCGTGTTTTCTGCGCTTCTGGTTTGTATCGTCTCTCCAGACCTGTTGCAGCTTGCTCACACTCTGCGAGAAGTCCACGTGGATACGCCGGTCGTCAATCAGGACATCCTGCATCTTGGCATAGGCAGCCTCGCAAGACGCCTTGTCGGCATATTCGATAAAGGCATACTGAAGACTGTCGCCCGTCTTGGCATCACGAATGACCTCGCAACTCAGAATCTTGCCGAATCGGCCAAAGATGAGTTCCAGATCGGCATCCGTCGTGACGGGGTTGAGCTTGCAGACGAAGAGGACGTTTTCAGGGGGAGCGACCTCGGCAAACGGCAGGTCACCCATCATTTCCAGAGTGAGAGCCTGGGCCCGTGCCTCGCGGTCCCTCCGCCGCTTCTCGATCGCCTCCTCGTCCAGATCGTCGTCTTCGTGTAGCGCAGCCTCGTCCGCGATCCGAACGGTATCGAGTTGTGACTTGGTCGGAGGAGGCGAGGCGCTGGGCTCTCGCAGCTCGGGGGGATCGGGGTACGGGTCATCGAGAACGATGGTGTGCTTGATTCGAATGTCGATGAGGGGGTGTCCCTTGTCGTCTACAATGGCCTCGTTGATCTTCTCCAACACGTCGAAGCCCTCCACGACCTTGCCAAAGACAGCGGCCTTGCCGTCCAAGTAGTCCGTCTCATCGCCCAAGGTGATGATGAACTGCGAAGCAGCCACGCGGGTATCCGGATCCGAATCCAGAGGCGCCGTGGCCATGCTGACGGTGCCTCGCTCGAGATGCTTCAGCTTCGGGTGGAAGAAGGCCGGGAACATCTTCTTGGAGCTGTCGCCGGACAGCAGGCCCCAAATGGAGGTGCCTCCATCGGATTGTTTCGACAAGGGTCCGAGAGGGTCGCCGGTCTGGAAGGAGAAGTTCTTCTGGACAGAGTGGACTGGTGAAAAGTTGTAATATTTGACTTTGCAAAGCTTCAGGAAGCTACAGGTCTTTGGTTAGCTGAGCAAGAGCGTTGTAGCGTTGACGGTGAACCGCGACTTACTTTTCGCACAGCTTTGGCGCGTAATCGACCAGCAGGTCAATCACGATATCGCCAGAGCTAGTTTCCAGAAGCACTGACATGGTGGCAGCAGGAGCCTTCTCTCGATCGCGTCGTCTCTGTTGCCGTTGTCTGTCTAGCTGTCGCTAGGTTTGGCCTGATCGGAGCTTGCCAGAGTGGATTTTGCCGTTGGCGCAGCGGATTGACCAAACGCAGCAGATCAGCCAATTCGAATCGTCTCGCTTCGCCAAGAGAACACGAAGTATCCCAAATGCAAAGTTTTCCACTAGGCTCAGGCGGGCGGGCGTTCGGTGGTGGGGATTGCAGCTTTGTGCGTGAGGTGCGTGTTGGCTTTTTTTCCAGCTTGAAAAATGATGTTTGCAGTCAAAGTGATGTAGGTGCGGTGCGGGCCAGTCCGTGAGGCAACGCCAACGGCAGCAGCTCTCTCGTCACATAGTGCGTGCGTCCAACTTGATCTGCAATTTGCACGGTAAAGAAGATCGGCGAATTAGAGGAGGGCAGGGACAATGTCACAATGTTCAGAATGTTGTGCGGATTGCGAGCCCCGGTTTTCCTCAGTTTGGGAGCTTTTGGAGCTTGGCCGATTGGGCGTATGAATAGACTTTGTGGGAAGTTTTGATGTTTTTGGATTCGTCCATTTTCTTATTTTTTGGCAGCGCAGCAGAGCAATGGTGATCATTTCCACATCATGGAGCCCCAAAGGTAGGTGAGTTATACTAGATATGCATCTCCAACTCCGCATGCATCATGGTGATCTCCCGGGTCCCGTCATGCTCAGACCACTTCAACACCACCTCGAACCACTAAGCTATGCATTCATCAGGAGTCTAACCAGGTCGATTCAGACATGATATCAACTGTCAAAGACGAAGTAGTAAAAGGTATGGTAAAAGTTGGTAATTGGTGTCGTTTCAGTCATTACAAACTCTATGGACCAGATGGCTGTTTGTGTGTGATATTCCTGCAACCACCGATAAAAGAAAAAAGGAAACCAGAAGTGAAAAAAGGCAGATTGGCTGTGGTGCATTCCAACAAGCCTTCGCCAGTAAAACACCAAATATCCGACAGGCGAGATGAGAAGAGCATCTTCGCCTGTATGCAAACCCAGCTTTTCCCTCTCTGTGATGGGCAAAACGACCCATGTCGTGCCATAATCCATGCCATGCCTGTCCTCGGCAAAATGTTGAAATTCCCACACAAATCCCCTCTCAACGCCATTCGACGAGATGGTTAATCTCCTTGTCAAATCCAACGCCTCATGAAAAAGAAGAATCCGGTGCATAATTAGGTAGGTTGAAAAAGAGGTAGGACCAAAAGGCTCAAATATGCTGCGCTTTTTGTGTCGATCCGCAAAAAGATGAGAGCGTGAGATTCCTCTGATTAGGAATCTCATGGCGCGCTCTTGCGTCGTCTCTCAGAACGGAGTTCCTTTTCCGTGTCCATAAGACGGCACTGCACCCACATGCGAAACGAGCTGTCGCTCCGCACCTGCTCGCAGTTGAGGAGCTCCATCAGGGCCCGCTTCATGCCCTCGTTGACGTCAAAGAGGCGCTGCTCTTCCTCGGCGACCGCCCAGATGGTGGTCTCGTCCGCGATGGGTGCGAGTGAGCTGCTGCGGCGGGTCTTGGGGCTCGATAGCGACGAGCGACGGCTTCGGCTGTGGTGCCTCTTACCGCCGCCGCCGTTGGGGTACTGGCCAAAGGGCGAGCAGGTGCTGCGCGTCGGGGACACGGACGGTGATGAGGAGAGCGAGGTGTTGGAGGTCGTCATGGGGCGGATCGTGTCCAGGTGCTGGCGGAGCTCCTCATGTTGAGATTGGAGAACGAGATATTGCTGGAGGGCAAAGTTGGAAGTTTGCTCCTGCGAGGATAGAGGGGTTGCGGCGGCCATTTTTGATGTTGGTGGATATGGTAATGATAGTGTGCAAGTAATGTGTCTTTGGGCTATTGACGAGCCCATCGGAAATATGTCTGTTTGAGGGTGTGGATGAGACGAGTATATGGGCTTTTTAAAGAACCCAGGCGAAGAGGATGTTCGGAAGTGATATCGGAAGGTGCTTGCTTGTGTGTGGGTGTGTGCGTGCCTTGATGAGTGATGCTCTTGATGTGACGGAGGTGGATAAGTCGATCCGATGTCGTCAATGTGATGTGGTCGTGTGAACACCGCAATGGTTCTCAACAAGACTTATATAGAGTGTTGAACCTGTTGGTTTGTTTATGATTCTTCTTTTCGCCTTCGATAAGGAACAGAAAAAAGGCGTTGGTTCGGGTTGGCGTTATGGCTGGGAGACGGGAAGAGTAGTTGACTCGTGGTTTCGGGCCAAATCGTTCGAGTGTGAGTGAGCAGGTGTCGAGTACTAATACCAAATGAGGTACTTTGAGCCTTCTGCTACTCCTGGAGCTACTGCCCTGTCGATGGCGTCGATCAATGGTGGATCCGGCGTCCTTTGTCTCCTTTCAATCGAACCCCCGTTGGCGTGCAAGAAGAGGAGAAGACGGGCGGGCGTGCGTTGGAGCTTGCGGGGGTCGCTGGTAAACGGTCTCGAAAAGCCCCTCTCAGCTGTCGGTAATAAATGTGAAAAAGAGGAGTAGATGCAGCAGGACAAGAGGGCGTGGCCGTTGTCGGGCAGATGTATGGTCAGAGATTGAGGGCCTCTTCTGGGGAAACGTAGAGGGCAAGGGGGGAAGGAAGATCAAGTAATATGTATGTAAGGTGTGGCAAGGTGTGCTTGTTTTGTTTCTCTTGCGATAGGCGTGTGAGTGGACGGTGTGGTTTATTATGTGCCTCTCTCCTCCTTTTGCAGTTTGCGGTGTGCACGTCCGATGCAGACTCGATGCAGACAGATGCAGGATAACGCAGCCAGCTAGGTAGCTTCCCCGGTAGTCGAAGCTGATGATGGCCCTTTTGGTCTTCTTGGTTGTATTTTTATTAATAGGCACTTGTGGATGACCCGGAAGTGATAAGCGGAGTCGTGGGCGATGCGTAAAGAGGAGAACTCTGGAGACTCTCAGTAAGAATCGCGTTGTCGCCGGTCTCCGATCTCGTCTCTCAGTGTGTGGCCGTGTAATAAGGTATTCCAGGGTATGGCAAGACTCAGGTACAGCAATCAAAGCTTGGACTCCCTCGTGGAAATGGCACGTCCAATGGCGCCAAATAAAACTGCAAGCCACAGGGCGTTTAACCACCGGCCGGGATGTGGTTGACAATGTTCAGGTCCCAGTTCAGATTGTGTGTACAAGTCCCACTGCTAATATACAACGTACGGAGTACCCGCGTTGCAGAGAAAAACAGGGTAATAATGGGGGTGGGTAATGAACTCGGTAGTCAAAACCAAGATTCAGGAGTAAAAGAATAATTGAAAAAAATAAGACAGAATATGTGCGCGCGAGCTTGGTTGCCAAGTGCGTAGGGGAATGGAATGGCGCCGGCCGACAACCGAGAGGTGGTCTGGAAGTTTTTTTGAGAACCCACGATGCCTTGGGTAGACCGGTTCAGGTTTGACGCCGCAAAGTCAAAGCCCAACCAACTAAAAACTTTGCTAGCTTGAAAGTGGTTGGCGATGTTTTTCGTCGTCCGTGACAGAGGGGGACCCGGAAACTTTTTTGTTTCCTCCTCTCCTGTTGTTGGAGTTGGTAGTTATGCTTTTTGGGGAAGGGGAGGTGTAGGTAACCCCTGGACAGACAACTTTTGGGTTGAGTGTGAGTGTGTCTCGGTGATGTGTGCGTCTGTCTCTGCCTCTGATTTGTGCGTGATGATACGGATAATGATACTGATAATGAGGGGAGCCCGACTACCTAATAATGGCGGCCGATAGCGTAAGACGGGATGGGACGGGGGTATGGATGTCTGGGAAATGGGTGTGGAGGGAGATACTCTCCACGGCCCCTGGTCCAATTAATAGACCCGGTCCAGCCCGGATGTGATGCTGAACAGAGTGGGAACAACAGCGTAATACGAAGAGGCACCGCTGGGAGCGAAAAGAGACTGACAAGTTGCGTGCTGGCTGCGTCAAAAGTCGTAGACGCTGGCACCGGTCGGTCAGTCAATCAGTCCCAGGCTGGGAGGGGGGAGGGTGGAGGCCGGTTCGCTGTCGGTGGTGCAATAAACCTGTTCAATGTTGCGCTATCCCGACAAGAATAAGAACGGCCACGGCGTGCGTCTGGTTCATGCAGCTCAGGGGCGAGAAACGCCGCGACTAGTTGGTCCACGTTGTGGCTAGGCCTTGTTCTGTTTTCCGTAGCGCAGCCCGCCGGAGACGATAGCGCTATCTTTGGGTTGTTCTTTTTGCTGGTTGCTGGCGCCCTGGTACGAGTTTCCTACCCAAAGGGGCGACGTGATGATGATACGCAGGGTCGTGTCGGCGTGGCGCTGCTAGTGCCGACTTGGGAAGATTGTGATACCGACGATGCGGTCGGGAGAGGCGATAACAGACTTTGCTGATTAGGTGTGAGAACCCCTGGAAGCGAAATCGACCTCAGCTGGCCGCTCGTGTGTTCGCTAGCAATTTGGTTGCCGTCTCGATGATGCGATGCGAGAAAGTCTCTGACAAACGGTAACCGGGTTCCTTTCAGCTCTTGCCCGCGGCTGTTGGAGACTAGAAGGTTCACGAAGCTGAGCTGATGATTGTGTTGTTTATGCTGTTGCTGATGCTGCGCAGGCCGGTGGCTATGCGTTCTCGTGTCTGCGGAGACGGCCTCTTGTTCTCGTGATTGTCGCTGTTGATGCAGGAATTGTGGTCCGTGTTCAAGTTTTTGCTGGTTTTCCGAGGGTCGTTCGGGGGTGATCCAAGTTATATCACAGTGATACATAGCAATGCAGGGAAGACTGGCGATAATCAACAATGTCTCGTCGAGGTCTGGTGTAGATGACTTGTCTGTGAACTTTGTCTCGAGAGGGGGCTTGACGCTGATGAGGCTGGTGGCATTATGTAGGTAACTCTGAATCTCATCCCTAACAAAACGATTCTGAGCACAAGTGACGTACGTGCCTTAGAGAAGCCCATGTGGCTCAACACCGCTTGGGGTCTCACATAGGTACGAATTCCAATCCCACGTTTTCCAGCCTGGTTTTGCCCGGATGAGGTAGGTCTTCGTCGGGCAATTTCTTTTTCTGTTGTTTCTTTGGTGGTCCCAGGTTATTTGCCCATGGCTCATGGGCCCGCTAGCACTCGCTTTGAATGGAAGCTCCCCGGCCGGCACACGTTTCCGAACGGACAGAGTGTGGCCAATGCTGGAAGGTGTTAGGTCTTCCCGCAAGCGCAAGGGTAGGATCCGGTTTCTTGCTCTCATTTCAGATGAAAGCTCACATTTCGTGTCGCGGGACTCGGGAGATCCCTTGAGCGGAACGGCTTCGTTCAGCCATATGGTTGGTCTATGATCTCAAATACAGCCCAGGGTCGAGACTGGCGGGAAATATGACAGCCCCCAAGAAAAACGGCTGAACGGTGAGCGTCTGAAAGGTGTACACACCGCGCGGCTCGGGGGCGATAAGATACTTCGGTTCTGAACTTCTTACAGGTCGGAGAAAAACCAACCTCGTGTGTGGGTGCTGGGTGCATGGGATGGGTACCATGGGGTTGTGGTCGTTCAACACCAAGGTCGAAAGTGGGTATGCAACCGGACATACGTCCGGAGAGAACTTCACCTTCTCAGTTCGGTTTACTGGCGCCTGTATACGTAGCTCGACCAAGTCTTGGGGGATGCTTCATCGTCAAATGATCGGTTGGTGCCAGGTAGCTCTGACAGTCCAGGCTCTGCGATCGACGGACAGCGTACGCAACCTAACCGCAACCACAAGACCAAGAGCCTGGAGGCACGGGGTTCGTACCTTGCAGAGAAGGCGGCTTTCGGGTCCCAACAGAAGGAATAGCGGCTGGCGGTCGATCCAAGCATGTTTTGACAAGTCGCGGACCACACCCTCCTGAGTCCTAGCATACAATCAACTGACCGATCTTTTCTCGTAGGGCCAGCGCCGGCCCTTTCGAGCCGAGACATTTTGATGCTCATCCTCGGCGGATGCGATGACTTCATAGCCTCGTTTCAACCGCTTCACGGTGCCCTGCTCGTCTCCGCATTTCTTCGTTCCCGCTTCTCTGTATTGACCTCCAGGAGGCCATGCTCACTCCTCGTTCTCCGAATACCTTGCAAGTGAGAAATCGTCAAGGGCCAGACCAGAGTCTCGGTGTACTGGCAATACGCTTGTGCTCTGGAAAATGCCAGTCCGCCCAATCATGAAGCGCCCCAAGGCTTTCGGCATTTTGGCCGATGTGCAGGGGTCAGCTCCTTCGTGCGAGCCACACGACCAACCCCCAACGTCACTGTGACTGAGCTTGCTTGCGTGGTGTTTGCCATCCTTCATTTTTCTGATCGTACTTTCAGCCACCTATCTGGGAATCGACAAGATGACGTCCAGCTGGTCCATCAAAAGGTCGTTTCGTTGTTCACGAACCAGCCGGAGCGTCATGTCCGTTCCCGGTTGACAGCGAAACGCCTGAGCCTTACGTAAAGGCCATTCCCATGTACTCAACAAAGCTTTCCACGTCCAATTGAGTTTCTGGGGTGCAGACCGAAGGTGGCCATCGAGCAAGGTGACCCCTCATCTCAGAACGCATCTGGTGCCTTCGAACTCTCTCCGCGTCCTGAGACTGCCGAAGCATCAGACCATTCCTTCTTGGACCCAAAATGCGGGGAAGCTGGCACTGGTGTGTGCATGAGGTTGACAGGCAATAACATGATAATCGACTGGTCCCCGGAATTCCCAATGAATCTTGTTCATGGTGGCATGATGATTGTAAACCTTGGGGTGCATCTTCATAGTTGTGACTTCGGTCGTAGCCGTGGCCTGACTACAGTTCCGAATCTTCATCGTTTGTCCGGAGGACGAGTGCTATTCGCCAGGTATTCGAGGCGCCTGATCCAAGGTTAACTCACCACTTCCCTCTTCGCAGTAGGTATCTGCAGATCCTGGGTTTTCGGGAGGCTTGCTGTTAGTGAGACGACGAATCGCCTGCTCCGGGGCTCGGCTTGGACCCTGATTTTGTTTGTGACCTGCGTTGTAGGTACGCAAGTCATTGCAGACCCTTGTTGGTCCTCCCTACAGGTTGCGTGGTGGAATGCAACCCCAAAGTATCAGCGAGCTACCTTTGTCCGTGAACTCTCCTGATTGTCTACGAGCATTTGCTGCATCTTACACTACGGCCTGCTTGTTATGATGCTGCTCACTAAGCAACGTATTCAGTGGTGACATGCCAAGGCAAACTCGCCCTCTAAAGAGAAACCCGACATGGCGCTCTAAACTTCATGTTATACCAGACTGCGCGCGTGCCTTTTCGTGTTTGACAAAGTCCGTATACAAATATACGGGCTTCCGTTTGATGCGTGATTCTTTGGTCATGATCAATGGCCAAGCTAATAGAAATACGCTGTATTCAGGGTCAAGGTATCACGCATCGCCTGACATGTCGCCTCACCACAGCGCCCTGGTGGTTGGCGGTGCTGAGAGTCGGCAAATCCGAATGGGTACGCTGCCGTTATAGAACGGTCCTTTTTGCTGTTCCCTCGGTGGTATAGGAAACTCGACGTAGCTCAAGCCCATCTCGCGCTGACGGCACCGGCTACAAAAGGCCTCGAACGTGACCTCGTTCCGCTGCGTCGCGGATATCAAAACCTGCACGGCAGGGAATAGGGCGAATAGTTCCTCGACGGTTGCGATGAGGGCCGGGATGATGCTCTGGTCATAGGTGATATCTGCTCCGATCACAACGTCAACGCTCTCGCCGTTGTTCCACTTCTGGTCTTCTGTTCCCACGAGAGCATGTCCCCATCGCAATTCCATTGGTCTGATGAGCGTACTTTCTTGTAGTTCGTTGAGGAAGAAGCTCTCTGGTAGGTTATTGATCACATCATCAGACCCATCGGAAGCGACAACGTGCGTGGCGCCGAGATGTTTGACGCAGAGGATCGCCAGGTATCCAGTACCTGCACCGAGTTCGAGAACTCGCTTTCCCTTGACGAGATTTGGGTCTTCGCAGAGGAACTGCCCTAGATGCAGCGCAGCTTCCCAAGTTCGGAGACCCGTGGTGCCAGAGGCAGAGATCAGCGAGCGGGCCTCAAGCAGTGTGATGTCAGGGGAAGGCGAATGCTGTGGCCGGGGGCTTTGCTCAAGACTACTCAGGTGATACGTGACGTAAGATTTCTGCTGGGCAGAGGACACCTCAGATGGGACTGGAGTCGCGAGAGATTCGGACAAGGCCGTCATGAGATCCTCGGAAACTTCCTGGTCATAGTTAGAATATGCCGGTAGCTGGCAGCAGAACGTCATGCCACGGCGCCGTTTACAGGAAGTCAAGACTTACATGTTGGTCCCAGTCTTCAATGCTGGACTCTATTCTGGCGACTAGTTCCTTTAGAACCCGGAGACGATATCTTGCAGGAGGGCTATAACGTGGTGCTTCATCCGAGAAGAGTTTCTTGTAGATGGTATCTTGGGCGGAAGCTTCACGAATGATCTCCGCAGTAGGATAATCAAGTGTTGGCTCGAGTTGAAGATACTGGTAGCAGAAGCGGTCCACGGACTCTGATGTGAATTGGGTTCCGGCCATGATGGGGGTTGGTGCTGCTAAACTCTGATAAATATCGTATGTTGCCTGATTCGGTGTAGTGTAGAGCCTCAGTTTGGATGATGGTCCAAATTGTCTTTTACGGGAAGAGATGATCGTCTGGCCGAGATATGAGATTTTGCAGCGAGTGACTAGTTTCCGAGTTCAAAGGGTCCTGCGGATTTCATCAGCAAGATCCCAGAGACATGGGATCTTGAAAAGACGGCGATAGTCAGACCTTGAAGTCAGAAATGCTCTCGATCTCTGGTTTGCAGTGCACAAAATACACAAGGGTTGGATGCTGACTCAGAGGAACGTCGACCACGGTGCAAACACCGTGCCCGGGAAACCAGACATCACATGACCAATTTCGAAAAACATACTGGCCCGTGCATCTACTGACTCCACGTGACTTTCCATTTTTCGACCCAGGCAGGTGCGGCGGATCCTGAGGCACTTTCTAGGGCTTGCCCACCCATTAAGCGACACCAATCCCCGCCCAGGAAAATTCACGTCTGTAGCCCCGTCACAAACCTCTCGAATTTGACGATATCACACCTTTCGACTCTTCTGTCTCAGCGCCAACCCATCTCGACAGACAGATCAGCCCCCCGACCGACAAGATGGCGGACGTCGACACCCCCGTCACCCTGCGAACTCGCAAGTTCATCCGTAACCCCCTGCTTGGCCGTAAGCAGATGGTCGTGTGAGTTTGCCCCTCCAGGTTTATCATCATTTTTTCCCCGAGAGAGAATCGCGCGCGCACGAAGAAAGATATATCGAACGGGAAGAGGAGAGGAGGAACATCAACAATCGACACTGCGACACATCGACAACGACTGGATCGAGACTCGAATTGGGAAACGGACGGACGCGCGCGCGATGGATGGACTCGATGGGACTTTGTCAATGGGCGTATCGAGAGACTGAGGAACTGCATGCTGACGGTTTTCTCAAAGTGATATCCTCCACCCCGGCCGCGCCAACATCTCCAAGGATGAGCTCCGCGAGAAGCTCGGCTCCTTGTACAAGGCCACCAAGGACCAGATCAACGTCTTCGGTCTCCGCACCCAGTTCGGTGGCGGCAAGACCACTGGTTTCGCCCTCGTCTACGACTCCCCCGAGGCCATGAAGAAGTTCGAGCCCCACTACAGACTGGTCCGCGTTGGCTTCGCCAGCAAGATCGAGAAGGCCAGCAGACAGCAGCGTACGTCGAGCCTCCAGTCAGCACTTTGCCACCGCAGCATTATCGTATCGCTGGGTATCGGGACAAGACTCTGTTCATCTGTCCCAAACCTTTGTTGTGATATAGGCCGCGGTGGCGAATCTGATAACAACCTCCCACATCAAGCACTGATAACTAACACTACTCGCGCTCCACAGGCAAGCAGCGCAAGAACCGCCAGAAGACCCTGCGCGGAACGGCGAAGGTCAAGGGTGCCAAGAAGAAGAAGGAATAAGCGGTTCGCCCTTGTTGCCTGGGGTCAGGCCAACAAAACGAGGGGAATTCCCCGGATCATCCGCAAGAGACCGTGGGGCGGCGTTGGTGGAACAATCAAAAAAGAACAATTCAAAATGTCGTCTTGGGCCAATGTGGTTGTTTCTTCTTCCGCTTGGGGGGGATCTCCTTTCATTTTTTCCGAAATGGGGAGTTTGTTCCAACTCTGGCTGTGTGCATCTTATTCGATGAAACAAATGCGGCTTTAGCATCATCCCCATGCGTCGGTCCGGCTGGGTTTATGTCGGCCACGCAAAAACAACTAGAGTCTACGCGGCGTGATACGGGGGAATGGGTTCATGATTCTCTCAAATATGAAATGCATCAAAAACACGTATCCCGATGGTCCCCCCTACTTTCAGTCCATGACGTTACCACTTGCGGGGTGATGGTCTTTGTTCGCCTGAGTGTCACCGCGACTTCCGTCGCCTTCGCCAGTAGCCATACTTCATCAACGTTGGGCTTGATCAATCTGAAGGTGCGTAGCAGTTATCACGACCTTCATCCGACGTGGGTTTGCTCTATCTAGACACTTGTTTTCTTAGTCCACGATATTGCCATTTGCGGGGTGGCTTTATTTCCCCGTCTAATCTGCCATGAAGCCCCTCCCTTCTCCCAGCAGCAGCTCTTTGGCGGCTAAGGTCCTTCATCGGAGATATTCAGTTGCCTGGTAGCCTCGCCCACGTCCTCTTAATCGATGCCGGTACAGTGGAGGAGGAAGTGGAGAAAACTCTCAGACGACTGTCACCACGAACATCACGACTGGGCCACGAAAACCAGACAGGCCCATGCCCAGTATTCTGTTATACATATATTTACCTTTGACTACTATCACGAAATACCTCAATCAATAATAGAGATTTTGGGTGGCGTTGTATTCTATTCAAGATATTTCTTACCTACGGAACTTCCCGTTCGCATTCCTCAACATCTTGCTTACTGTTGACTTGGAACAATTCTCGAATCCTTCAATCATTCTCCCATCCAACAGTTTCTCGGAACTCAAGCGCAAAGGTCGATATTCCCAGATCAACGGCATCCACACCCCTTACGCTTCCCATCATCGCAGTCCACCTGTGAATCCGCAGTGAGACGGTTTCCCCGCCTCGACTTCCCAACAGTCAAGTTCACCCTACTCAGGCAGAAGTGTCTAGTTATACCCATTCGTCATTCCTATAGCTAGCCGTGATAGACGTAGAAAATTGAAGCTACATAAGACACAGAGACTTCTTGTACTTATCCTGGGGTCTAAAGTACTCCTCATCTGACCGTTCAATATTAGCGGAACAACGGGATTTCTCAAAAGATTCCTAATTGACTACTGCAAGTCACGATCTATATCGTAAGGAAGAGACAAAGTATTCGGAATTCTCGTTGTAATGACCACTTTACCAATCCTATAAGACTCAATCTCTTCCGTCCTTAACCGTGTGTAGCCCATCGACGCCATTCTCCTATCCCACCATAAAGTCTATCCATTGCATCTCTCACCCATTAGCCACAGACCTCCCATTTCCAGAAACACCAAATCTCACCCAGGAGGCCATCACAAAGCAAATAGGAAAAAAAGTCACTCATTCTCCATGTTCAACACTTTGGAATTATTTCTCTATCAATCGTGTAATGGTGGTATTGATGCAAATCCCATCCCCAAAAGGCCCAATCTCAAAGAACGCCAATGTACCGCTATCTACATCTTTCACATGACACCGATGGAAACGCCGTACCATGCCAATGCCTTGATCCATACCACACACACACACACACACACACACACCAAGACCATACACACAACGCGCACCCTCAAATCTCCCTCAACTTCTTCGTAGGCCTAGCAAGCGAATCATCAGGCAACCCACTCCTCTTGGTGCCAGGCAAACTACTCGTCCGGATATCGTTATCATCCTGACTGACCCTCCGATGCGGGTACTCATTCTTCAACCCCTCAAAACAGTGCGCATTCAACCGATCACCCGTCGAAAAGAACGGGTGCTGCAGCGCCTTGGCCGCCGTCAACCTCTCCACGGGGTCGTACTCCAACAGGCTCGCGAGCAACTTATACCCCTCAGCCCCTAGACTCGCCAGCGGCGCGCCGCCCCCGTTTCCACCTTGCGGCGCCGACGTCGCGCTGCTCGAAGCCCCCTGCGAAATGGTGCTGTAATACCACTTCTCCAAATTCGAGCCGCTCGGCGCGGGCGGGTGGTGACCGTACCCGTGTCCGCGGTGGTGCCCGTGGTGACCGTGGTGATGCGGCGTCATGGGCGGCTGCAGCGTCGCCAGCTGCGGGTACTCGGGCATGGCAGACAGCAGCGGCCAGCGCTCCTTGGACGGCAGGCCCATGATGTCGACAATCTTCTGCATCTGGTTCCGCTGGAAGGGCACCGTCTTCTTGCTGTCCATCTTGGCCTCCTCGCCCTTGAAGATGGGCCGCAGCGAGAGCAGCTCCGCAAAGATGCAGCCGACGGCCCACATGTCGATGGCGGGGGTGTAGTGACGACTCCCGAGTATGAGCTCCGGCGCGCGGTACCAGATCGTCACGACAACCTTATCGCCGCTGAAGAGGGAGTGCAGGGGCTTGTCGAAGCGGCGGGCCAGACCTAGATCGCCAATCTTGACTTCCCCGGCTGAGGTGACCATGATGTTGGCGGGCTTGAGATCACGGTGCAGGACCCAGTTGGCGTGTAGATACTGGCAACCATTGAGCAGCTGGAACATGATGCTCTTGACCGTCTGCGGCGGAATGGGATGGCGAGGGTTTTGTGTGTGGTGGTGAATGATTTGCAACAGATCGTGCTCGGCATACTCAAAGACCATAAAGATGCACTTGTCTTCCAGTATGATTTCGATGAGCTTGATGACATTGGCATGCTTCAGCTCACTGCACAAAGACATCTCGCGGATGGCGGACTGAGAAATGCCCGTGTACGAAATCTGTTCACCCTCCTTGTCGGGCTTGAACTTCTTAATGGCAAACTCGCCAGTTTGGCCCTGGCGGCCAAGGGCCTTGTAGACGCGGCCATAGGTTCCGGAGCTAATGAATCCGACGACCTTATATCGCTCGATAACCCGGACCTTGGGCTGATAATTGATGTGGCCGAGGCCGCGGTCCGCTGGGTCTGTGAGAAATGTGTCAGCGCGGTTGAAAGTGAATGAGAAATAGAAGCAGAGATAAAAATCGGGAGAGGATGTCAAATACAAGAGCTATGACTGTGCAGGCCGCCGTAGCCTATTCCCCTCCACATGTTTAAGAAAAAATATGTGACTGTGAGAGAGGTCCCTTTTTGTAGAAAAAGGAAATGAGGCAGGCGATGCGAGCGACGAGAGGATTTAGGGAGTAAACACAATATGCACTCGCTCTACAGACAACACATGTCTCTTTGGTCCCGAATACACCAGGAGGGATGGAATATCAGGTGAGGCTTTCGGGAAGCAGCAACACACGTGGTGACAGTGGCCACGGAAGAACGCCTCCAAAAGCAGGCAAAGCTCACCGCCGATCCAAGAGCAGCAGGTTCAAGCTTCGGGGTCTGGGTCTGGGGCTGACTGCGGCAGGCAATAGGCAGTGTGGGCTGGAGTTCGCGGGGTGGCTCTAAGCTTTAAAGAGCAAATAGGCAGAGAAGCGGCGCCGGCGGAAGAATGCAGCCTGCCACCCGTCGAAACACACACTGGACACACACACAGCACGCACGGCACAGCTCGCGAAGTTGCGCCGGAACCCTTTTCCTCTCGGCTGAGTGCTCAATGATCGTGTGAGATGCAAGGTAGCGGTGGGGAAAGGGAAAAATGAGGAGACGGCAGATGCAGGACCCCCGAAAGTTATGTATAGGTTGTATTTCTCACGGCGGGATACCCGGTAGGATGGGATAGGATGGGTGGAGGTCGAGGAGGATTAGGATTGGATTGGACTGGATTGGATTTGGAGACGCAGTGAGGATATGTGCTGGGATATGTCTCTGAATGGGTGTGTATGAAAATTCTCGGGAAATGGGGCGAAGGCGAAAATGCGGAAGAGCAATAACAGGCGAGCTGCCGCTGAATGATGGCCCCGATTCCCGAGAGCTTCGTTTCCCCAAAGATCCAAAGGGTCTTGCGGAGGAGTGAGCGCGAAACTAACTACTGCGCAATGCCTAGGACCGCGGATGTGGAAGTGAATGTGTGGTGTATGGCGTATGGCGTGTGGTGAGTGAGAGTGAGAGTGAGTGGAGGAGTGAGTGAGAGAGAGTGTGTGTGCAGTGCAGGAAGAGACGTGCAGGATTGCGAGTGGGAGGGGTGCATTCGACCAGATACGATTCGATACACAAGACGGATGGAACACCCGGGGTGGTGGTCGACGATCGACAAGAGGAGAAAATGTGGATAAGATTATACATTAAAAGAAACGGGGTTTGCAAATAGGGTACGAGCAGGCGACGGCGGCGTCCGCGGCGACAACCGCCACGGATGGATGGTGGAAGCGAAGCAGCGGGATGAACAAGAAACATACAATATTCTCTGCGTGCTCTGCGTATGTGCGCACTCTCTGCATCTCTTCTCTCACTTTGGAGTCTGAAGTGTCAAGTGTGCTTGCTGCCTTTGGCTTCACTCCTCATCCAATTTTTTGTCTTTTGCCGCTGCTATGCTCGCTCACTTGTTGCACCTGATGTTTGTCGCTTGACTCTCGGGTTGCCTTCCGGAACGACACATTGACATTCAACTCGAGTCAGGCAAGCCGCAAAAAAGGGCAAAAATTGGGAAGCCAAGGGGGCAAAAAAAGTGAACGGCAGTTACGGACGAGAGCGTTTGCAGAAGTGTATGATGAACGTAACCGACAAGCAAACATCAAAACTCACCTTCAAACGCTGCCTGGACGCTTCTCTTGAGCGTGCCTGTCCGCACCGAGCCAGGGCCCGATGCGACAGATGGCGGGTTTGTCAGACTCATCATCCGCCGGGGTGGTGGTGGTTCGCTGCTGACTTTAATATCCGTATTGGAGTTGCAAATTCGAGGTTCCAAAGTATCCGGTTACGTATCCTCCCCTTAAAGTAACCCCAGTCAATTCGTGGAGTCCTCTTTTTTTTTCTCTCTCTCTTCAAAGGGTGCCTTGCGGTTTCGTGCCTTGCTTGGCTCAAGTCGGAACCCTCAATTCGACAACCGTGAAGTGAGTCTCGCCTCTCTCATCCAAGTTACTTCACAGTTACAATAGTCTCTGGCCCCGCCTGTGAGACTGAACCGCAACTGTCCTATCCCAGGAACCAGGACTTTGCTTTCGTTTGTCCCAAGGAAATCTCCGCCGAAACGTGGCGAAAATGGGGCACGCACACTTGTCAGTGGATATCGTTCCGGCGAAAGTCTGAATCTGGGCTAGGAAAGGAAAACCGTAGCTCCGGCTTTGGGTCTCCAAATAAGTCAAGGTTGTGTCGGCGGCGGCGCGAGCAGGGTCAGGTCAGTGATCGAGCAGCAAAAAGATGTCGAGTCCACAGTCCGTCAAAAAAGTCAGCTCAGCTCCAGCCCAGGGACAGGCGTCCGCGCCAGACCAGCCAGAGAGAGACTCGTGCGCGGCGCAAGAGTGGATGAATGGCGCAAGATCCCGATTCCGCAAAGGTGTCAAAGGTGTGCTCGCGTATGCGTCTGCGCGTAAATGTGGTGGGTGTGTGTGTGTGCTATGGTTATCTCAGAGTAGCGACGGTCCTGTGCCGCAGGAGACGGGTGTAGTGCCCCGAAACTAACGGCCCCGCGCTGAACACGACAAAAAGGAATATGTCAAACCCCAAATCGAGTCGTGGGCGAGCTTATCCTGAACGACGTTGTCTGGGGGTGGCCGATGAAGGCGCGAACCTGCGTGTGCGCGCGGGGGTCAACGACTCTTTTGGTTTGGAAGTCCTGCTCCCCCTCTCAGATTCGGAGATCGGGCTTGCGTAGAGATGCGCCCACACGGCGGACTTTCTCGCCGCTGAGCTGAGCAAGTGGGCTGGCTGGGATCTTCTTAGATGCTCCGCGGATCCTTTCGCGAGTTGCCGAAGTGAAAAGACCAATGCGATATGCGCGACAGGGTCAATGTCAGGCTATTAGTCCGCGTTGAATGGCGATGCGCGCCCGCCCTGGTGGCCAGGCAAGTGAGAGTAGGTACGCGATGCGATGATCGGCGTCGCGCGTCGGGCACGAGTCGCAAAGTCTCTGGATTCTGTAGTGTTTACTGTGTGCGATCACAAGCAATGACGATTTGAAGTGCGGAGAAAACCCCCCTGGGCCGAAAGTGCCGCAAGGTTGAGGAAGAGGTAAAACTGGAGATAGATCACGGAGAAGGGGCCCAAGAATGTGCGAGCTGGCGGATGAAGGATGATTGATTGAGTGCAAGCGGGTGAGAGGTTGAAGTTCCAGGAGGGAGCAAAGAGTGAGTTGAAGTGACGTTTCACCGGCAAGCAACAGACGAGGCGGCGTGGCTTCCCATCGACTTGGGCGTACTCCGTAGAGGTAGGCGCATCGCTCTCTCTCTAGTAGCGGGAAGCCGCTGCCTGGTTGCACAGTGTTGAGATTGTGTCATCTTGCACGGTGTTGGCCTCACGGTTCATTGATGGAAGCTTAAGCACAGAAAGACTACCTATAACAACTTGTCCAAAACACTCAAAGATAGCTCTGCTTTGACCAGAAAAGACTTTCTGTACGCCAGTGTCATAATAGAGTTCATCAACTTTTTTCGTTAGAAAACAAAACGAGGCTCTAAAACCTGCCACATGCATGCTACGTCTACTACCAACGCGGCCATCACATCCATCACCTTGGCAGACCATCCATCTATCGCGGGCCGAGCTTCTCGAGCACGCGCGGTCCCTGTTCATCCCACTCCTCCTTGGTCACCCACATGCCCTCCTTGTCTGCCATAATGTTGGCCAGCACCGCACCACCGAGGAAGACCATGTGTCTCCGGCGAGGTGGGTCTTCTATCCGGACCTTGAACTTGTTTAATCTCTCCGGGTTACCGCCAAGCACCCGCGTCAGCCACAGCTGCTTCAACTCCTTTTCCAGACGTGACGGGAGACCGGGGTACATGCTGCTGCCGCCAGACAGCACAATGGCCTTGTACAGCGATGATCTCACGTCCACATCGGCCGCCTGGATCGTGTTGAACAGGAACTCGGCAATACCGGGCTGTTCGCAGTCCACCAGGTGAGGCTGGAACATGCACTCTGGCGCCTCGAATCGCTCGCTGCCCACTCTGATTACACGGCCGTCGGGCAGCGTGTAGCTCTCCACCAGCACCGTTGTGTCCTCGCTCAGGCGCTTGTCCAGCTCCAAGTCGTACGAGACGTAGCAGAGCTTCTCCTTGATCTGCCGGACAGTCTCGAAATCGGCCGTTCGGTTGAGCGCGTAGCCGCGGCGCAGGAGGAGCGCAATGAGGTTGCGCGTGACGTCTCGGCCCGCGACATCCAGTCTGCGGGTAAGGTGGTTCAGGACAACCGACTCGTAAACGGGCACGATGTGGGTCACGCCGTCTCCCGAGTCGACGACGACACCGGAGCTGAGACCTGTAGGGAGCATCCAAAGTCAGCCTCGCTGCATATTCTCGCGCTCTCTTTTTCCAATCCAAATCGATCGTAGCTAGTGTGGTCAACATACCTTGGGCGTACAGGGCCAATACGGCCTGGATGGCAACATAGACGCCGCCGAATCCGTAGCGGTCAAACATGACCTCGCACATCTGCTCACGGTTCCGCAGCGGGTTCATCGGGGGCTCGGTCAACAAGATCTTGCGGCCGCGCGGGTCGACCTTCATCTTTTCGAAAAAGGTGTAATCCCAGAGATGCTGCATGTCATCCCACTTCTTGACGATACCGTTCTCCATGGGGTAGCTGATCTGAAGCATCGTCCGGGCGGCGGCGGCTTCGTCACCGCACATGATATCCTTGATAACCAAGTCATTGTCCTCGCCCTTTTCTTCGGTTCTCAGGATCGGTCGGCCGACAATGGATGGGTATTGGAATTCGGGGAAGTTCTGCGCTGCGTAGCCGACCTTGAGGAAACCTGTTCCTCCGTCGAGGACTGTGGATCTTGCGTCAGCCACCTCCCGAACAGAGAGCATCAACCACTGGGGAGAAAGCGGTCACAGGCATAGCTATGCAGCTTTAGCTGCAGTATCAGGGGCATTGTATCTTACCGATGGGGGCCTCGGCTGCCATTGTGAAAGCAGAAGCTGCAGGCTTTCGAGATTGGAGCTTCTTTCGATTTGGGGGAGAGGTGAGGTGAGGTGAGATGTGGTTGGGAGAGCGTCTGGGAAGCTGTTACGTCTGTGTCGTCGATAGTGGGGTTGGGCCAAGTCCACTGCCTCCCAGCTGTCCTGCCACTGGATCGTCAGCCAGGTCGTGGCTGAGTACGTAGCGTGAATCACGTGATACCCCGCAGCCAGCAGTCGTCACGGTCCACGACAGTGGACTCCAGTGCACTGTCACTGAAAGAAGTGGTGCTGAAGGACCTGGAGGAGCCGCAGTCGGCTCGTTCGGTGCACTGGAACCCAGCGTCACCGGACCGGCAGCCCCACCTTGACGGGAGAATCTCCACTCGTTAGAGGCCGCTGGTCGGCGGTATCAGTATGATTTACGCGCTTGAGGGGTGAGTAACACAGGCAGCTGGATGTTTAATTCTCGCAAAGTGACGGCCATCTCATACTAGGAACAACGTCTCCAGTCACATTTCCTGCACAGTAATAAGGCAACCATGGCAACCCGTCTCCTTCGTCGGAATATCAAGATCCTCGTGATCAACGCCAACTCGTCAGAGGACATGACGAGGGGCATGGAGAAAGCCATACAAGCAATGCCCTTGCACGATGTTAGTCAAAATGAACCAACAGGCTGGACACGGCGGCCAAGTCACAAACACAGATGATCAAGGGCTGATTTCACTCTTTCTGTGCTAGTCGCTAGAAATTCACACCTACACAGCACCACCTGCCAGTCCAGCAAGCATCAACGATGATGCTGACATTAAACTGAGTACTGAGGTCGTCATGAATGATCTCGCCAAGAGCGGCAAGCTCCAAGACTTCGACGGCGTGCTCGTCGCATGCTACAGTGTCCACACCTTGGTTGAGCAGCTTTCTCAGCAGTTCCACTCCTCGCTGGCCGTCACCGGTATCTTCGAGGCCAGCATCCTGACTGCGACTTCACTCTTGCCTCACAGCTCTGACCCTTCTCTCGCATCCAAATGGGGTGTTGTCACGACTGGCGAGTTCTGGGAGAAGCACCTCAGCCAAGGCGTGAAGGGCTACCTGGGTCAATCTGAGCAATCTGAGAATGTCAAGTTCGGGGGCGTTGCGTCGACCGGCTTGACAGCTGGGGACTTCCACCACGTCAGCCCGGCTGAAGTCAGGGTCAAGCTGGAGCAAGCTACCAAGAAGCTGTTGAGCAGCGGCGACGTGCGATGTGTGGTTATGGGATGTGCGGGTATGGCCGGGCTCGAGGAAATTATTCGCAGCTCAGCCAACGACGTCTATGGTCCAGAGAAGGGCAGCCAGGTCTTCATCGTGGATGGTGTCAAAGCTGGCATTTTGCAGCTCGAGCAAACAGTCAGAAGCAGACGCTTGTTCCAAAACTGATAGATCTATTAATAATACCCATGCTATTGACACCCATTCTCAACGCCATACCTTTTACCGTTCTATTCAAAATAACGCAACACTACGAGAATCACGACAATGTCTTAGTCGAGCCGTCTAGTGCGTCCCCAAACTTCGTCTGCGTCCTTCTTGCCCTTGGTTTCGGGCACCTTGACCGAAACGAACAGGGCAAAAAGTGCAGCGAAGCCGGCGAATAGGAAGTACACCCAGCCAGCTCCTCCAAGCCAATTGTTGAAGGCATTATTGACTATCGGGAAGAACTGAGCAACCAAGAAGGTTGCAAGGTAGTTAGATCCTAGAGACCAAGACTGTACGGCGCCAACAGCCTCTTGTCCAACCATTTCGGACGCAAGGATGAAGGGAACTGGTCCAAGACCAACGGCGAAAAATGCTACAAATGACACGACTGACACAGCCGACAAAATCTTGACCCCGAATTGAATAGAAAGAGCAAGAACCAGCGAGCTGATTCCCTGTCCAATGATGGAGATCAGGATGCAGGTCTTTCTTCCGAGCTTGTCCGGCAGCGGAGAGCAAGCCGCAGTGGTAATGAGATTGATGACAGAGATCAGAATTGTCAGTAGGGCGGAGCTGACGGGTAGCAAGTCGTTCAAGAGAGACACCGAGTACATGATGACAGAGTTGATGCCACACAGCTGCTGGGCAAACATGATGCCGATAATAGCGGCGATAGCAGGTCGGTGAAGCGGGTCTTTGATCACGTCGAAGAATCCAAGATGGACAGGCGCGGTGTGCTTGGGCAGGCCAGGAGACACTGGCGGCACGTCGTCGCTCTGGGCCAAGAGACCCTCTTGCTCAGCGTTCACCTCCCCATCCCAGCTCTCAACTTCCTCTCTGATGTCGAAGTCCTTGCCACGGATACGCTGCAGAGTACGGCGAGCCTTCGGGACGTCGCCGTTGGCAGCCAGCCACGCCGGGCTCTCAGGAATCAACATGAGACCGGAAGCCTGAGCCAACGCAATGAAGACGCCGGCAGCCAGGATCCAGCGCCAAGCCTTCCCGTAGCTCAGGAAGAAGCCCAGAGTCTGGACAGCAAGAATGCCAACATTGATGGAGACCTGAGTCATGGCACCAAACAGTCCACGCTCCTTTGGCGGCGCGATTTCACTGATGTACAGCGGAACAATGACGGTAGACGCGCCAGCCGCCATACCCGTGAAGAATCGACCGATTGCCAGAGCAGCAGCACCGCCAGCGAGGGTCTCGATGATGGCACCGATAATGTATAAAATGGACGTGACTCGCATAGCAGGACGCCGGCCGCGCTTCGAAGACAAGGGGCCGGCACAAAGCGCGCCGAGCAGGCCACCGACAGTGAAGATGGAGGAGACGGTCGCGAAGACGGCGTCGGACATGGGAATACACTCGGGGAGCCAGGGCTCGGGGTCGGGCGCTTTGGAGTGCACCCATGTGAGCTTCACTCCCTTGGCCGCAATTGACTTCTTTCGACAGGTAAGGACATCTTGAGGGGCATTGAGCTCGGCCTGGAGGAGAGAAACAGCTGGTTAGCAAGTCATGCTTCGTGAGGATTGTTTGAAGCAAAACGACGTTGGAGCGGAATGATGCAATGACATACAAGGTGGAAGCCGAACTGCAGGGGGCCCAAAGTCGAGACAGAAATTAAGACAAGCAAGTATAGGCTGACATCGTGCATGCACTGTCGAAGACCCGAAGGAGCCATGTTGGCGAACGACGCTGGATGCTGCGAGTGCTGCGAGGTTGTGTGTGTCGTCTAAAGTGAGCTCGG